GATCCCGAGAAGGCGAACTAGCGGTCATTAGTAGTTGTACAACTATAGAACATTGCCGCTCCACTGTCAAGTAGGACTTCTACCTTTTCTCCTTTACTTAGCAAAGCTGATGTTATGCAGTGTTGCCCTGTTGTGTGTGCTCTGCCTCTCTCGGGTTTGGACATCATTAGTCTTGCATCGGATACCTGCGATGATGATTTCTCGCTCTCTTCCCATACTTGGGGTATTGATGCTTGTGACTGCAGTTCTGCTATGTCCAACCCATCCTTGTATTCAACTGTAATCGTAGCGATACGGTTCTGAGGGTATGTTTCGTATGCTTCGTCCCATATCTGTTGGGGTATAATTGGAAACTTAAATGTTTCATTCGTTGTTGTTGTCCGTATCTTGCAGCATGATCTTCCTTTCAAGTGCATGGAGAACCGAAATTCTCTCAAATCTCTACTACCTAGTATCATGTGATCCAGACTGTCATCGTTCAAGACTCTAAAGTTCACCGCTAGAAAACATGGCTTATGCGCATGTTCTAGCTTGATCGGTATCGATATATTTCCTAATATATTCCTATCTTTAGAGTACATGTCGTCTCCTCTAACTGTCTTCATGTCTGTTCGCCACGTCGGCCAGTATCTATTCAATACTTTCGTAGATGCCACTGAGGGTTCGATACCTGTGTTCAAAAGCATGTTACTGCTGAACCCTGAGATGCTTATGGCGACGAAGATTCTGCTCTCTGGGCTCTCAAACTCGTCTCGTTCAATGAATGGTGGGGGAATGACTGATAGGTTTGCTTCCTCAGCTATCCTCAAATTCTTGGCTAAATCTTTGATAGATAAAGTTGGTTCCTGTATCTGTACCGTTTCTTCTACTATCTGCTCTGCAGGAGGTACAGATTCGTTTTCTTGATACGTTCCTATCATATCAATGTTTCCTACGCATAAGTCTAACTCGTCATCTTCCGAGGATTCCGATCCTTCTTCCCCTATTTCGTCTGATTTATCTGTCAAGTCTTCGTTACCATACTCGGCATCTGTATCATTGCTTATAGCATGAATGGGTCTCTTCTCAAACCTACCTCCTCTAGTATTATCATTCCGAAATGCTACTTTCCCAGTATTGCCACTTGGAGTTTTACTTTGCTTATAATCTCTATATTTCCCGGGTTCTTGTGACTTCGGATGTTCAGTAGATTTATAGTCTTTGAAGCCGGATGCTCCTTCCCGTCTCGTAAAATTACTACTTCGGTTGTCCCTCATCTTCTGAAGGCTTCTGCACACCGAGGTGTTTGTTACTACGTCTTCAAATATTATAATAAAGGATTCAAAGTCTGATCGGTCGATTATACGAGATTGAACTGCATGTTCAATATCCCCGTTACACAGGCTCAACACTTTGTCAATTTGTTCACTAATTGTAAGAAACGGCCATGCTGCGTCCATTCTTCTACGCTGAAGTAGGAGCCACGCCGTTGGCTTTTCCCTGTTTTCCCATTTGAAGGTGTCTCGGTCGAATGCCATTGCCATTTTCCTCTTCCAAGTGGGCGTACCAAAGTGATCCATAATCATCTTTTTCCATTCTTTCCAAGATTTATTCTTACAGTTCCTCCTCTTCACGGTGTCCCAACTTCGAGCAGAATGTGTCATTACCACTCCTAATTTACAAATGATCAGCGCGTCTGAGAGACATGTGTCCTCCTGTGTGTTATCTATCCATTCCAACCATTCAAGGTGATTATATTCCCTAGTGATGGTTACTCTCAATCTGATATATTCACTGATGTTTTGTTTGAAGCTATCTTTGTTATGAACTGGTTCTATTTCACTTGAGTGACATATTCACATTACATGTCACAAGCTCGAGAACCATCTTATAGTTGTAGATACATTGCCTGTACAGATTTTCCCTCATCCGACAATCCACATAGGAAGACTGGTAATAGATACAAATCCTCACCAGAACTCCCTTGACCCTCGTCGCCGAAAACCCCCAAGTCTGTCCATAACATATTGTCGGATCTATAGACGAGACTCAAGGACTATAGATAGATCACCAAGAAGAAACAAGTAGAATTGACTTAAATCGAAAGAAAACCGAACCTCAAGATTCAGAATACTAGCAAATCTCGACCTCATTAGAAAACCTTATCTAGATCTCAGAAATTCAAAGTTGAAAAGACCCAAGAAACTATTCGAAATCAAAAACCTTATTAACTAATCTGCATACGCTGAAACCGAATCCACCAGAACCTTATCTTACTTACTAAAAACTCTGTCGATCCCGACTGTGATCCCTGGACTAGCAAACGCAACCACGTCTCCATCTTACCGTGCTCCTTTAGAGGAGGAGGACTCTGATAGTGAAACTCCGATCCCTTTTCTCGACGCCGATTCTAGCCTTACCGGTAGCGAGATCGATATGTCTGACACCAACATGACCTCTCTCGAAGACATACAACGCAAGCTTGCGGAGCTTTCCACCTCATTGGCTGAAGAACGCCTGATGCGAGGACAAGCTGAAGCCAGATACCAGCAGTCCGAAGCTCGTTTAGCGGCGTTGGAATCCCGAGGCCCATCTGCACCTGCTGCAGCCACTCAACCACCCACTGCGCCACAGCCACCACCAGCTGAACCGGTCCTGAAGGGCCCCAAAGTCTCGACGCCTGATAAATTCAACGGCGCTCGAGGCGAACCCGCAGAGATCTTTGCGAGTCAAGTCCAGCTCTATATGCTGGCACACCCCTACCTCTTCCCCGACGACCGAAGTAAGGTGGTTTTCTCGCTGTCTTACCTCACGGGAGCAGCCAGCAGTTGGGCGCAACCCTTGACAAAGGAGTTATTCGACCCCGCTACCGCCCACCTCGTAACCTTTGAACGCTTCGTTACAAATTTTAAAGCTATGTATTTCGATACTGAGAAGAAATCGAAGGCGGAACGCGCGCTGCGAAACTTATCGCAGAAGACCACCGTGGCCGCGTATACCCATGAATTTAACATTCACGCAACTTCTACTGGCTGGGAAACTCCGACGCTCATTAGTCAATACGAGCAAGGTTTGAAAAAGGAGATTAGAGTGGCAATGGTTATGACGCAAGAGGATTTCACGTCAATTGAACAAATCACTAATTTAGCTATCAAGATAGACAGTAAATTACACGGCGCGACCAACCCAACCTTCCATACGCCAAGCACGAGTGCAGGAATCTCAGACCCCAATGCCATGGATTTATCAGCCGCCTACGTTAGATTGTCCGAAGAGGAACGAGCACGACGTATGCGAGCGGGTTTATGCTTCCGCTGCAATGGCCAGGGTCACATCTCCAGCGCATGTCCCGATCGTAGAGCTAGTAGGAAAGGGAAGGGTCGAGGTGGTTATCAATCAAAAATAGCTGAATTGGAAATTAAAGTCGCAGAGTTGAGTAATCAGAGGGTGAATCATACCAGTAGTTTAGAAGGAGTAGGACGAGCTGAAACTTCAAAAAATGGAGAAGCTCAGGATTGAAGGTTGTGCCCATCCTGAGCCACCTGGAGAATTTGTCATCAATTAATGTGGGATCTAGTAGAATGAACTTGTGCAATACAAACGACCCGCGCATTTTTTTACACACCACATTATCCATGTCCCAAATTCCCCGAGCCACACCGTCCCAAACATTTCCCGCTACGTTCCTCATTGATTCAGGTGCTACGCACGATGTGCTCAGTGAATCATTTGCCTACCACGCTGGCTTGATAGCCGGTGCTGATCGACATGACCAATTGATCACTGGATTTGACGGCTCTGAGAGCCGATCTTCCTTCAAGACCCACCTTTTTATCAAATCCGACCCATTACCGACCCCATTCATCATTACAAGACTCAAAGACTCGTACGACGGCATACTTGGCATGCCATGGATCAAGAAAAACTTTCACCTGATTGACTGGAGTAAAAGTATGGTACACCCAGCCGAGACTCACGTTGCAACCACTTCATTGGTTTCGTATTGGCCGAAAACACCCTTATCTGGCCACTCGTTGGACCCCATGAGGGACGCTAGGCACAATTACGAGGGGATGTGTGTCAATTCTGACACGTTAGCATCCCCGCAATGTGAGTTCGAGAGTCCAGTTAATCCTAATCACCTTGAAACAGATGACAACCCTCTATCTCCCGATAGTTCCCCCCTTATCACGATTACACCCACCACAAACAACGAAAACCACGAACACATCACGACACAAGACCCGGATACGAGCATTGCGGCCGTAGTGAATACGGCCTCGTCCGTCCCGCCACAGAACCCCGACGATCCCAAGGAGGAGCCTCAGGGGCACGCAAGGAACAGTGACGAGGGGGCTAATGTCTTTTTAGATATATCAACGCCCCCGCAATGTGAGTTTATTACTGATTCCAACCCATGTTCAACCCGAACAGCTGGCAAGCCTGTTTCTCCCTTGAATAACACATCAATCCAGGTCACAGCAGCCAAGACGTCCTGGTCAACCTCAGCACGACTCGCCGCCGACAAAAAGAAACTCGAACCCGTCAAAGCTCTAGAGGAAATTGTCCCGTCTAGGTATCATAGGCACTTACACATGTTTAGGAAGTCCAATGCCCAACGCCTACCCCCGAGACGCCGCTACGACTTTCGTGTCGAACTGATACCAGGAGCTCAACCGCAGGCTAGCAGGATAATTCCATTATCACCAGCCGAGGACGCTGCTTTGGAGGAATTGGTGAATTCAGGCTTAGCCAACGGGACTATCCGTCGAACCACTTCGCCATGGGCTGCCCCTGTGTTATTCACAGGGAAGAAGGACGGCAATCTGCGCCCTTGTTTTGATTACCGTAAGCTCAACGCCCTAACCGTCAAGAACAAATACCCACTACCGTTGACTATGGACTTAGTCGACAGTTTGCTGGATGCCGAAGACTTTACCAAGCTTGATATGCGCAATGCGTACGGTAATCTTCGAGTAGCAGAGGGTGATGAGGATAAACTGGCCTTTATATGCAAACAAGGCCAGTTTGCACCTCTGACTATGCCTTTTGGGCCAACAGGCGCCCCTGGTTATTTCCAATACTTTATTCAAGATATCTTATTGGGACGTATAGGTAAAGACACCGCGGCCTTCTTGGATGACATTATGATTTATACAAAGCCTAAAGTAGATCACAAAGGCGCTGTTGATGGCGTACTTGACGTCCTATCCAAGCATACACTCTGGCTGAAACCCGAAAAATGCGAGTTCTCGAAGAAGGAAATTGAATACCTTGGCCTTATTATCTCTAAGAATAAAATCAGAATGGACCCGACGAAAGTGAAAGCCGTCAAAGAATGGCCAGCACCCCAATCAGTATCTGAACTCCAACGCTTCATTGGATTCGCCAATTTTTACCGACGTTTCATCGACCAATTTTCAAGAACCACAAGACCACTTCATAATCTGACCAAGCTCAACGCGCACTATGTCTGGGATGAAAAATGCGAAAAAGCCTTTGAGAGCCTGAAGACCTCCTTCACCACCGCACCCGTACTGAAGATAGCCGATCCATACAAGCCGTTTACTCTGGAATGTGACTGCTCCGATTTTGCATTAGGAGCAGTGCTATCACAACGCAGCGAGGACGATGGAGAACTCCACCCAGTAGCTTACCTGTCCAGATCACTAGTCCAAGCTGAAAGGAACTACGAGATCTTTGATAAGGAACTACTGGCGATTGTCGCGTCTTTCAAAGAGTGGCGCCACTACCTGGAGGGAAACCCCAACCGCCTAGATGTGATAGTCTACACGGACCATCGTAACCTGGAGTCTTTCATGACAACCAAGCAGCTTACCCGCAGACAGGCTCGATGGGCGGAGACACTGGGCTGTTTCGATTTCGTGATTAAATTCCGACCCGGCAGTAAAGCTACCAAACCAGATGCCTTATCTAGAAGACCGGACCTGGCGCCTACTAACGAGGAAAAATTGACCTTTGGCCAGTTGTTAAGACCCGAAAACATCGGCCCAGACACGTTCCCGGTCGAGCTTGCTAGCGTAGAGGGGTTCTTCGAAGATGAAGTGGTTGCACTCGACAATTCTGAGCACTGGTTTGAGGTGGATGTATTGGGCATCGCTGAAACTGACACTAAGGCACCGGACATTCCTACGGATGATCAAATTATACAACGAATCAGAGACGCAAGCAAAGAGTGTGACAGGATAGGGGAACTGATGAACGCAACCTTGAACCCGATATCAGCCAAGACGAAAGCAGCTTTGAAGCATTACAAAGTACAAGATGGTATCCTCTACAACCAAGGTAGAATAGAGGTACCTGACGTCGACGACATCAAATACTCAATACTAAGAAGCAGACACGACTCATTGCTTGCGGGCCACCCAGGTCGAGCAAAGACTCTCGGATTGGTCAGGAGAAGCTTCATCTGGCCATCTCAGAAAGCGTACGTCAACAGGTACGTGGACGGTTGTGACTCTTGTCTAAGGGTTAAATCAACCACACAGAAACCCTTTGGGACTCTGGAGCCATTACCGATACCGGCTGGCCCGTGGACGGATATCTCATATGACCTTATCACCGGCCTCCCTGCATCAAACGGCTACGACAGCATATTAACCGTGGTGGATAGATTAACGAAAATGAGTCATTTCATTGCTTGTACTGAATCAATGTCGGCTGAAGACCTAGCAGATCTCATGATGAAGAACGTATGGAAGCTTCATGGAACTCCCAAGACGATAATCTCAGATAGGGGTAGTATTTTCATTTCACAGATCACGGAAGAAATTGACAAACGCCTAGGTATACGCCTTCACCCGTCAACCGCTTTCCACCCACGTACAGACGGTCAAAGCGAGATCGTCAATAAAGTAATCGAACAATATTTACGACATTTCGTTAAATATCGACAAGACGATTGGGAAAGTCTACTGCCCACAGCTGAGTTCTCGTATAACAACAAAGACCATGAATCCACGGGCATTTCACCGTTTAAAGCTAACTATGGATTTAACCCATCATTCAACAAAGTACCATCAGCTGAACAGTGTGTGCCAGCAGTAGAGAAGAGGATGCAAACACTCGCCGAAGTGCAATCTGAATTAAATCAATGTTTAGAATTAACTCAAGAGAAGATGAAAGAACAATTTGACAAAAGAGTACAACAAACACCAAGATGGGAAGTAGGAGACCAAGTCTGGTTGAACGGACGAAACATTTCGACAACTAGGCCAAGCCCAAAATTAGAAAATAGATGGCTAGGTCCTTTCTTCATTATCCAAAAGATATCAAATTCTACTTATAAATTGAATCTCCCTCTTTCCATGAAAAGCGTCCATCCTGTATTTCATGTCTCTGTACTCAGGAAACATAACCCGGATACAATACATCAACGAAAACAACCCCCAGTCGAACCAATCATAATACAGGATGAAGAAGAATGGGAAGTCAACGAGATACTAGATTGTAGAAGAAGGTACAACAAGAAGGAATACTTTGTGAGTTGGAAAGGATTTGGCAAGGAAAACAATTCATGGGAACCCGAAATCAACCTCAAGAATAGTCAAGATTTAGTTAATGAGTTTAATTTAAAATATCCCGACGCAACAAATAAGTACAAAAGGAGAAGGCGGAAGAAGTGAGAGGGCTATGCTTTTTCCCACTGGGTTTTTTAACGCAGCCCGTGGAAAGAATGCAGAGCTTGCAAGAGGAAGCTTGGGCATTAAAGGGGGGATAATGTTATGAACTGGTTCTATTTCACTTGAGTGACATATTCACATTACATGTCACAAGCTCGAGAACCATCTTATAGTTGTAGATACATTGCCTGTACAGATTTTCCCTCATCCGACAATCCACATAGGAAGACTGGTAATAGATACAAATCCTCACCAGAACTCCCTTGACCCTCGTCGCCAAAAACCCCCAAGTCTGTCCATAACATCTCCGTTCTTCGGCCTCCGGAGATAACAATTTCTCCATTCTACCCTCAGCTTCCTGTACCTTAGTATTCGGAGTATACGGATTGCTTGTTGTATCTGGTTGATTTGTGAATCTTACTGTATCTGGTTGATTTGTGAATCTTACATCATCGTGCTGTTCGTCTTTGCGAACTGTTATATACTCTGCGAAAGGATTATTTCCGATAATTTCCTCCTTCAGATCTGTTTCTTTCTTGGCTTTGTTATTCAGCATTGATACAATTCGTGTCACATTCATATGGAGCAAAACCACTTGGTGTGCTTGATGATCTAGTTTCTCTCCTAACCTACACATCATTTCGCTAAGGTGTGTGCTATGGATCTCAATCATTTGTTTACATGCTAATCCTTGCGCTTCAATTATTTTCTCGCACTGACATTCTCCGCATGCTGCTGTGGTATTATGTCGGAGTAAGTCTTCCCGTGTCGTCAACACGTCATTCTTGATATCATCAAAATTTAGATTAAATTCGTCATTCAGCATATTTATGCCGAAATCCCATTTCTCACTGATTAAACGTATGTTCTCGTCCATCTTATCTTCTAGTGATTTCTTAAGGTTCACCATCATAGTAGGGATATCCTCTTTATGGTCTACAATGCGTGGCGATGATTTGTTTGACAAACTATCTGTCTGGAGTCTCAGTTGTTGGAATTTATTAGTCAGGCTAAAATCTCTGTCGAAAGAGGCTGCGCTTGCTTGATCTATTTCTCTTACGGGTCCTGCCGCTACAAAAGGTGAAACACTGTTTTCTGTTTCTCTGATGATGTCTTCGATGCTCTTGGTTTGAACTTTTGGTTCATTCAGTATAGTCGTGATGACTGGTGTCTTATGGCGCGGTACATTGTCTGATTTGTTCGGATTCATCGTATCTTTTCGTCCTTGGTTCAGAGGGATATTTCGTTGTTTTTCTATTTCTACAGCTTTTTGTACTACTGAAACCTCATCTGTAGAAAAATCTAGAGCTTTTCGGTTTGATACGTGTGTTTGTTCATTAGTTCTCACCATTGGGACTTGGGTACTCTCACAAATTGGAACTTGGGCTATTTCTTGTTTCAACGTTTGGCTCTCAAGAGATGGTATGTCAGTTTTTAAACTGCTCATGCTTCGATCATTATTACTTATCATGTAATCTATTTGCTTACAACCCGTAGTTGGTTGAACAACTTTCTTATCTAACGTATGTCTAATAGCAAAACTGTTTACAACTGTATCTGTTACAGGATTCTGATCACACAAGACTCTACGCGAAGATAGGAACGGACTGGGTGTAGATAAGAAGACATTATGCATTGCATCTAAGCTTGGTCTTTGTGGTTCTTCTGTTGTCCTTTGTTTTTGGACTTGCTGATGCCTTTCACTGCTCGATAGTAAGCTTTGCTGAACGCTAGCATCGAGTGCATGTTGTCGGTATCCGCTTGTGCTTGGGGAGATTTCTTGTACAGTTCTTTGGTATGTTGGTGATTGTCGTTTCGGACTGGTCCTGCCGACGACATCGACTGAGTCGGTTCTTGGGTCTCGATTTGAGCTAAGGATCGGTAGGGTCTGTTGGGGTCTGGTGATCCGTGAGGGTTCTGGTTCAATCCGATGAACCCGTTGCTCGTTTTTGCTAAGAGCTTCCTCTCTTCGACATACGGATCCCATCCCAAACTCCCCTTCTGGACTTCCTCCTTCCCTAGGATTGTTGTCAAGGCGTCGTGTGACATCTTCCACAATCCAAGAAAGATCGTGATCTGGCGGGCGTTGTTGGGATTGGTGTCCTGGGCAGTCTTCCAATTCTTGAAATTGTGTTCGTGCAAGGTGATCAGTAGACGTTGTTGTTCTTGGGGGACCGTCGGTGGTGACTGATCGACAGGTGGGTCCTCTTGCATTGCGTCGCCCTGGGATTGAGTTAACGGAACTTGCCCTTTGGTTGCTGTCACTGTAGTTGGGTCTACCGAACTGGCTCTCGATTGATCTGACTCGATCGGATTTTCTAGGTGGCATCCTTACTATCAGTTCGCGCTCAGAAAAGAATAGATAGCAGTAGTTGTTATCTACCAGGTTGACCTATAGACAAGATCTTTGATGTCTTTGTGTGGGTTGTACCCGTTATACGATCCTGGGCTTGCTGGTTGTTGGGGTTCAGGACTGACGAGTTGGATGGGGTTCTGCCTACTGCCTGTAAGTCCTTTGTTAGAGCTGGATTGGGCTGGTGCGTGTTGCTCACTAGGTGAACAAGGTTTTTATTTAGTACGCTTAATCTTTTCTTACAAAAAGAAAAATTGTCGTACTAACTTGTATTCCTCTGATTCCAATTTACTTGCTAAGGCTTTCAACTTCTTACCCAGTCTCCAGAGGTCTCTATACAGGTTTGCTGGTGTCGGTTCTCCTGAGATCTTGATTCTGACGAATGCGAAGATTAAATTTCCTAAGGTTTTGTTAACTTCTAGCACTGCCAGCATTAAAGAGGTTCCCATATGGGAATATGGGTTGTGGGGATCAGACCGCCATTGTAATATATGTAGTCACAAAGGCTGTCTGATTCCTACGACCCATATTCCCATCTGGGAACCTCTTTAATGCTGGCAGTGTAGGAGCTCCGATAACGCTAGGTGTACTGCGTCCAAAATTTTGAATAATGGTAACAAAAAGGAAGAGTACTATGGTAGTTCTTAGGAGATATCCTAAGGCTAATTGATCAAATCGAAAAAAGAAAACAAACAACAAAAACTTTCTGACTAATAACTGGAAAAAAAAAATTGATGATTTTTTTATGGGTTTTTAATTGGTTTTTTGGAACTAAAAGCGAAAAAATGATAAAAAAAAAACTGAAGCACGTGTTTTTCTTGTTAGTCTCGGGCTATTAGCACTCGATGAGGCCCCCAATTGTCAGGGTGGCTAATGATATGACGTACAGAAAGGTCTAGTCTATCAACTCCGTACGTGAGTCCTGACAAGTTATTCCGCTGGTCACGGGGAATACACACTGTTCCTTCTAGTAGAGTTGTTAGAACCGAACAGAAGGATGTTAGCTAATGATTCAATCTCCTTGGTTCCTTGGTAAGGTACTTCGAACTACAGGCCCACTGCTTGTTTAGCAGATGATAGCTGGTCTGGCCTGAGCCGTAGTTCTTCTCAAGTCCTAAGACAATGAGTAGCCTGCGATCAAATCGACAGGGATTTTGCCAACCAAGAGGTCACAAAAACTGGGTCCTTGACCAGTAGAAAATGAAGAAACTGACTAACCTAGATTACGTTCGAAGGATAGGAGTTCTCTAGAATTTTAGCTAAGAAGTTATAAAGAAAATTTGACGCTGATTTAGAATCTGTTGAAATATAAGGGTCTAAAGTTATTCTTTGGGAATTTCTTTCAGAACGGGTATTTCAAAAGATAAGGGATCTCCTAGTTTTAGATGTGATCTAAATAAAAGATAGCAGTGGTAAAATCAGGTGCCGTCTTTCTATCTTGCTTATCAGTCGGGTATTTATACTCCTAGACTCTACTCGTATCGCTTGTGGTTGACCATAGGTTTCTTTTCTCTGGAGCTTACTGCTCCGAACTAATACCTCTTGATTTTACGTAAAGTGAATTTAATTTGTTGAGTCTTCGACACTACACCTTAACTCGTCTACTTCTCCATTGACAGATTCTCAGGATTGGTCTCTTGGCAACTTTGATTAGTTAGATAATCATCATTAGCTTGTGAGTCGTCTTAGTATCAATTACTTCATGTTCTTCCTTGGCATTAGCTAATCTATAGTATTCTTTATCAACCTTCTTACTAGTAGTTTCATAAGCGTCCCTTTTCTCCGGCCTAGTCTCTTTCATCGGTGACTCGGGTGTTCTTTACTATTCTTTCGAGAACTTCTCTAGCTAGGTCATTCCTTAGATTAGAGAAGGTAAGAATATGGTTCTTTAGATTTTAGATGTTAATCTCTAAAATGCATATGTTTGAATGTCTTTTTTATACGACCTTTGAAACTAGGTCTAGAAGTTGTAATTTTATTAAAGTATAGTATCACATGTGCTTTCCTCTTTATACTTATGGAAGGAAATGAAAATTTTATTATTTATTTTTATTATTAAAAGTGTAGCTCTTCTGGCTCTTCCTGCTTGAGAGCTTGGGAGCTGACAGGGGGCTTGTTGAGGCATGCTGGCTGTGAGACATGTATTCTACTGAAGCAAAAGAGCCCATATTGTTAATTATCTTTGAGGAAAATTAAGAAACATGAAGAGTCCGTTTTGGATCACCTTCTGCCCAGCTGCTCTCAGCTGCTTCATGGTCAATCAAAAGAAGGGGTGATGAGCTGGACTGGGAGTGGGAAGGCTTGTTGAACCTGGAGAAAGAGCTCATATTGACAAATCCTTTGATAAGCAGTTGGAGGTGTAACACAATTTGAATGGAAGTAGAGAGATGAAATTGACCCATAGCAGTTCAAGCCGTCACCCGGAACCGAAAATCCGACGGATATCCCTCGGAGCAACCGTCGGACCCGGGTGACGGATAGGACCTTCCAACCATCCGGTGGCCGGATAACCGGTCGGTCCGGTAGTCGAATGAAGGGGCCAGAAAAGCTGATTTTTGACGGATATCCGGCGGATATCAGTCCAAAAGGCAGGCGTGTATTTCATATTGTTGTAGGTTAAAACATAATAAAAATTTGTAAAAAAAACAAGCGGGGTGACCACAAATCAAGCACTATTTTCATCACCATCAAGTTCAATAAGAGTAGGAATTTTCAAAGGCCCAAAAATTCGGTGCCAATCTTTTACGCAAAAAAGTGTCTCAACATGCAGACTTGACAAGCTACTACGCTGAGAGCCCAAGATCCGTTTAGTTTTATTAAACTGGCCCTCTGAAGGACAACTAGTTGCTGGAATAGCCAGATACACCATCGCCATATTGGCCAAACCAGGATAGATGGACATGCGTTCTTTCCAAAATGTCAACACATGAGTGTCACGGCTTTCAAGCTTGTCGCCGAGGTATTGAGCAACCTCACTTTCTATTGAATGCTCTTGTGAGTTGTCTCGAGTGTGAAAGATTGCGTCTTCAAAATATTGTGAGGTAGACGTTGCAAGAGGTGATTGTTTGGTAGAAATCGATGTGGTAATCGGTGCTTCGGTTTGAAATTTCCTGGCCTCGCCTTCAAAAGTTGACCTAAAGTCTGAAACATAGACATCATACTTGGCAAAGAGCATTGCTCGTTCCTGGTTCAATGAATATTTTGATCAGTACAAAGATGAAGTAGAAAGATTAGATTGGTACTAACTTGGAAATAGTTTAACTTGAGACGAGGATCCAGTATGGTGGCACAGATTGGTGCCGGTTTGGTGAGCACTTTCTTGAAATAATCTTCAAGTTTAGCAATCATGCTTTTGGATGCAGGTTTCAATTGATCGAAATCATATCGTCCAGCAACCTATTAAAGTTGAACAAATTAGCAAATGGTGATGTGATTTTGATTTAAAAAAAGGCTTACCGAGTTGAGTCCTTGTAAAACTACAATATATATAGGGACGACTTGATGCATCGTTGGGAACTTTGATTTACAAAGTATCTCAGTGGCTTCACTGAGCGGTTCCAAGAATTCACACATCTGTTGGACATAATTCCACTCAAGAGGTAAGAGAGCGTATTTTTTGAAATCTTGACCCTTGCAAAACTCATCGCATGAGTCTTTGAGACGTAGAAGCCTTCTAAACATGTGATACGATGAATTTCATCTCGTTGGAACGTCGACCACAAGTCGAGTTACAACTTCAAGGTTAGTGTTTTTTTTGGCTGGAGCTTGCCGAACGTGATCAATTGTCGGATCTTCTAACATATAGTTAATTGCATCCTGGTCCGCATCGTCCACAGAATCGGTAGGATGTTCGACAGCACCGGTGGAGTTAGAGGCAGCTGCAGATGCCATTGCCACAGCGACTTTGTGTCGCATCTTGACGATGTTAGCAAACACTTGAGCACGTTGAGGACTTGAGCGGGTACATGTCACTAAACCATGGCATCGATTATAGATGGTCTTGAGATTAACTTGATACACATCGGGTGGGTCAATAAGATCGTGGATGTTCGAATTGGATGCAGCCTCATTGTCATCGAAAACCTTGCCAAACACCTTTAAGCCTTCTTTCGCGGCGAGGTTGATGACATGAGCTACACACCCATGTACCTGGGTGGTATGATCAAAGTCAATGCCTTCAGTCGAACCAATTTCGCGTCCGATTGCGGCATTCGTGCTGATGTTGTCCGCGGTCATCGCACTCAACTTCTTTGAGAGATCGTATTTGTTCAAATAATTGATGATGATACCAGCAAAGTTTCTTGCATCATGTGCACCTGGAGTTCATTCAATCAGTCAAATTGAATTGGCTGAATCAAAAGGAGTATAAAACATACCTTTTATTTCTGCAATACCTAGGCTAAGATCCAATAATTCCCAGTTTTCGTTGATAAAGTGACCAGTGAGTGACATGAAGGGTACGTTGTTTGGCGAAGTCCAGGCATCTTGAGTTATCGCAATCGATTTGCAAGGTCCAAAGTAAGACTTCTTGATGAAGTCTTTGTAATAATAATAAATTCTACGCATGATTAGCAGTTGCAGTCCGTTTGCCTAGCATTCCGGATACATGAGGGCTACAGAGTGCCAAGAGCTTTTGAAAAGATGGTTTTTTGACTATTGAAAAGGGGAGATCACAATCGGCGATGAAATAACAGACACTCGTCTTGAGACTGGTGGTGTTGAGTTTATTCTTACACAAGTTAAAAAGATTCTACGTAAGTATCGATAATGATTTTTCTTTCAAAAGAAGTACAACTCACAACATGTGCTGTTTTGGCTTTCTTGAAAGCGCCAATGATGTTACCTTGATCAGGTAACATGCCATTGCGGACGCCGTGTTTGATTTCGAGGTGATTCTTCATAGACAATGTACTGCCCTTCTTATCACGGGCTAACTCCTTCCCGCAGTCCTTTCCGTCCGCCATTTGAAAAAAACACTTATTGAAGTCTTTATCTGGTAGCTTTTTGAAATACCTCCAAACCCAGCTCGTATTCGGACGAGAAGTTGTATTTGATGTGTCTCCGATATTGGAATGATCGGCTTGTGAGGCTGTGTCTGTAATGGTCCCTGGGCCTGAAGACATATTGATTTAAGTTTAATTTGAAGGTGATTAGGTGGTACGAGGTGGTTTCTGAATAACTATAATAGAGATGATTGAGCGGTAATTCCATCAAGAATCGAGATTCTGTGAATGTCAATTCTTGATTCCCAGTTCAATTTGAAAAAAAAAATCTAAAAAAAAAAATAAGGTCTGAGACTTGAGTGAGGGCACTTCGGAAGATGGAAAAAGAAAAAAGCGAGATATGGCCCCGGGACGGCCAAAGAACTACCCGGGTAGCCCCGGTTTTGGGTTCAATTCCCAGCTACGGAGGTTTTTTCGACCAGATTGCCGGATATCCGCCGGATATTTGGCTCGGTTGTTGAATGGATGATTTTTGAAAAAAAAACCGTCCGGTTTTTCTCCGACGAGTCCGGATACTGTAAATACCCGTCGGGTCGGTGCTCGGAATGCCCAGAGGTCGCCGGATAGTCGCCGGATAGTCGCCGGGTGACGGCTTGAATAGCAGTAGATGAGATTTTTGACATGAGCGCAAATTGATATTGATCAACCAAGAAAAAAAATGTTGAGAGTCTTGAATTGGGCTGATTGTCAACTCTTCATTATATCAAGATCTTCAGTGTCCTTCTTATACAAAATACTTGGCATGTATATTGATAAAACCTGTAACAAAGTGGATATTTACTTGAATTCAATGCAACAGGTGCCCAAAGGAACGACGGCACCTGTGTAGTTCCATAGAAACTCAGGGATGAACGGAAAGAGGCACAACCCGGTACCAGAATAGAGGTACCGGACCAAAAGACATACAGTCTTGTGAAGACTTCGAAAAGGTGGAATTTCAAATTTGAAATTCTACCTTAGAGAAAACTTTCCTTCATCCCATCTTCACTATCTTCTAGAATAAAACAACAGGTAACAAACACAATCTCATTATTTCAATTAGTCAATTTTCTTTTAGATTATATTACATAAAATCTTAGATCCACAAACATGTCAGCTCAAGAATTTGCAAACAACTGTAACAACACAGACCTACCACCAAAAGGGACAGCACTGACTACCGTCATGTCAGAACAAAATGAAAAGGAACAATCTTCGAGTAAAACACGTGGAGGAAGAAAAGCAAAAGGAAAGAAAACGGAAATTAATATAGAAGTTAGACAAGAAGATAGTGGAGGTAGGAAAGAAGATGGAGATAGAAGAAATGATGAAGGAGGAGAAGAAACAAACGAATTAGAAGAGAAAGAAGATGGCGGAAATAGAATGGAAGGAGTAGAAATGGAAGATGACAGACTTAGAGATGGAAATTTACGAGAAGATAGACAAGGTCTTGGTCAATTCGAACATTTGATAAATGATAATCAACGAGGATTAGTAACAGGTTTAGGTTAGTACTGATGACAATGTTTGAACATACCTTTCTTTTTGTTATCCCCTTCTTTCTCTCTCTATTATTCCATTCTTTCTATTATGTCATTCTTCCTATTTCTGTTATCCCAGTTTTCCTTTTCCCCCTCCTTTGTTTCGGTGATCACAGTCTTTTCCGAAATAATCCAACATATCCAAAAAAAAGAAAAAAAAGTGATCGAGGTCATGAGTCTTAGTTATAAAGCAGAAAGACTGATCATACCTAGAATTAGTTTAAGACGTGATAAAGGAAACCTAACAGAGGTTGACCTGAAAAGATAAAACGCAGGAAACCAATAAATTCTTCAATCAATTGAAGATATGGTTGACCTATATTTGAAAAAGAAGGAAATCGAAATGATTAACCTGTATGATGTGAAAGAAGGAAATCGAAAAGATTAACCTAAAATATGAACGAAGGAAATCATTATGATTAACCTGTACCAAGAAGGAAATCTTACAGATTAACCTGAAGAACAAATAGACCGTGAAGTGAAACGTGATACTAATACAAAAAAAAAAAAAAATGTGTTCTATTTTCTGTGATTAGGAAGAGTGAATGAGGATATGGAAGAATCAGCCTATATCGAAATCAATCATAAGAAATGGATTCACAACATACAAACATCAGTTACGAACAGCAACTTAGCTCAATATGAAATCCTGTGCAAAGGTTATGAGAAATGGTGTGACAAGAACCAAACTAGACAGAAAAGTGTTGACTTACAAGATCTTGATCTCAACATAGTGATAAATAATGAGAAGAATGAAGTATCAGCATCATCAAAAGACGTTACTAAAACGAAAAATGATTCTAATACAAAAATGAAAATAGGCGACCAAGTCACTCACCTTTTAACGAATCTATCAAAATACTGGCAAGATTTAATGATTAATAAGACAGCACATGTACCGGTTTCCATCTTCTGCCCAAAATGGATCCTACAAGACGCCAACTTTATGAGGACTAGAAAAGCAAAAGTCGCAAGTTGTACATCCGATGTGATTCCATATGTCGGCTCACCGTACCTAAATGAATTCAGACTAAGTTTTGCTGAATGGTCGATTCGATATAACCTCATGGTGAAATACCAAGAAGAAAAGTTTGACAAACTAGATAGTCAAAAAGACTCACCAATTGCTCCTCGGTTACGAGCCCATCGGGAAAACGTATTACAAATTCAAATAGACTGTTATGGAAAATGGCCACCGGCAATGAGATACGATATTGCACATAGGAGGAATGTCTGGGAGAACCGTTTAGAAAATGGTTCAATGGCAGATGTAGGAACATTGGATAAGAGATTAGCAGATCAAGCTGAGAAAGACTCGAAACATTTTAATGATTTTGCTTACGATGACAACCCTTTTGTTTTTGGAGGACCAATGCAACATGTGAATCCAATGGACGGGAAAGTCTACCCAGCACATAGTTCCTGGGATACGGTTGGAGCATTAGCCAATATGCAAGTCGAGATGCTGACAGGAAGGAATTTGAAAGTCTGGAATACTAACCAACCAGCGAATCCGAGTACATTGTCCTTAGAAAGAGGAAGCACTGGAGTTATAAGATCAGAAAGAGGTTATAAAGGAAACAAGTTTGATCCAGATTATCACAAGAAACAACAAAAACAACATCAAAACTATCATACTAGTCAAAATTATTATCAGAACAACAATCAACCCTATGGGTATAATAATAGAAATAACGCACCAAATCAAAATCATAGTAATTTCTTCCAAAATCATGGAACTTACACATCCAACCGAGGAAATGGGAGAGGAGGAAATCATCAAAACTCAATTGGTCGTGGAAACCAGTACCATCAAAGTGGGGAACGACCATCCATCGGTCCCGGGAGTTTCAATAGATTAATGAGTGAAAACAACGTGACTAAAGGTGCTGAGAATGGAAATGTACCAACAGCTTCTAGTTCAAAGTGAGTAAAAAAAAAAAAATCTTGAGAGACTAGTATACACACATCATTGTAATTGTTGCTTTCATATCTAAGAATTTGTGTTTCACTTTGGGCGCGTCGTAATTTTGTTTCTTTTTCAATTATGGGTTGCAGGAATTGTGAAAGAATATAAACTGATGTAAGGTGCTGTTGTTCTGGTGTTGCAAATTTCTGTTCTACTGTTCTGCTATGAAATCTACTTGGTTTGATTTAGAAACTTTGCCTGTGAAGAGGAGACACGTAGTGTATCAATTGACATGAGACCGCGAGATCAAACTAGAAACGTGACAGTTACCAACAACCCTGACGACCTGATAACTAAAGAACATCAGAAAGAATGTCATCAAAAGAATCATATTGATTATCATCTGAATGACCCACAAAACATACGAGACTGGCCGACCAAAGTAAAGAGCGAGATGAACCTAAAAGAATGGAAGAATCTATTAGATGGTTGCGGATTGTCGGAGAAATGGGGAAAAGTATGGATAGGACTTACAGAAGGTTTTCATCAAGGAATCCCACAACACCTTCTAGGAGACCTTAAATGGTATACCCCCGACAATCACAAGTCTGCACTCTTGGTCCAAGATAAAATTATGAATAATCTGATGAAAGAAAGGAAACTTGGACGGATTTTTGGACCATTTACCCACGACTTTGTATACCAACGATGGGGATTCTTCCGGTCAAACCCCATGGGGAGTGTGACGAATAACGATGGATCTTTAAGAATGATAAATGACTTATCTTACCCTAATAGTAACCATAAGAGACATCAGCATAAACAGAAACAGGAAATAGGAAAGACAGTCATGGAAGGTGAAGAAAATGAGAATGAAGAAGAGGAGATATGGCGATCAGATGGGGCGAAAGAAATTATAGAAAACTTACTGTACGACAAAGAGGGCGAGGAACTCCCATTGGTAAATTCATTCGTAGATAAAGATGACTTTACGACGACCTGGGATGACTTTAACGTAGTCGCAGGCTATTTCAAAAGGAATATGAGTATTAGGTTATTGTTAGCAATCTTCGATTGGCAAAAGGCTTACAGACAGGGTTCGACTCACCCATCGCAATGGAAATTTCTCACCATAAAAGATTTCCAAGGAAACATATGGATTGACACTAGGATACCATTTGGAGGAGTAGCGGGTTGCGGTACTTTCAGATGGTTAGCTGACGCGTGGAAAGATATAATCATGAAATTGTTAAAAATAGAACAAGTTTTTCGGTGGGTGGATGATAATATGTTCATCAAGAAAGAGGGTGATGTGTTGAATATGGAAGATGTGGTCCAAATTAGCGTAGGAATGGGAGTTCAGTCGAATGCGGAGAAGTTTGTCGACTGGGCAATAGAACAAAAGTACCTTGGATTCGTTTGGAATGGAATAGATAAGTCAGTACGGTTACCAGAAGAAAAGAAGATTGAAAGATTAGAAAAATTAGAGGAACTACTCACACCAGAAAAGAAGTTTAGTAAGTTAGACATTGAAAAAATCATAGGACAGCTGAGTCACATGACATACATCTTACCATTCATGAAATGTTACCTTTGGGATTTATATTACTTCGAGAAATCATGGTTTAATCCAAGAGCAATGAGGCAATTAACACATGGTGCCACAGAAGAATTAAAGGAATGGCAATCTGAACTTTTGAAATTCGATAGACTACAGTTGAAACCAGATATAGAACCCACTGAAATCGGATGGGTGGGAGACGCGAGTACAGGGTTCGGCGTCGGTATACTGATAGGCGATAGGTGGTCCAGGATGAAGTTAAAAGAAGGTTGGAAGTCCAGGGAGATATCACAAGGGAATCGAACGCGTGACATAGCGTGGATCGAAACCGTTGCTGTTCGACTCGGCCTATTAATGCTAGAACAATTAAAACCAACTTTGAACCAAAATTTCATTGTCTATACGGATAACACCACTACACAAGCAGTAATAAAGAATCATAAGTCAAAGAATCAGCTAGTAAACAACGAGTGGAAGAGAATTCAGAAAGAACTTACTCGACTGAAGTGTTCGATCACCGCGAGAAGGGTATCTTCAGGTGAAAACGAGGCCGATAGTTTGTCAAGAGGTGTGAAGAAAGTAGGAGAAGAAGCGTTGGAAGTCAAGATAGAAATCCCGGTCAATCTCACACTGTTGCTAGAAAGAAACTGAGGTAGAGAGATGGTGATAGATCAGAAAAAGATCCAATATTTCTTGAAAGATGTGAAAGGGTAAGCAAAAAAAAAAAAGTGAAATATAACAGAACAAATACCTAGAAGGGTTGGAGGTTAGGAATAAGGTTCTGACTTACTGAAAATAATTGCTTCTCTGGTTTACGCAAACTAGGGAGTTCAAATGGAAGAGTAACCCGGTGAAAGTACACCTGTTGAGCGGAAGTTGGTCGCAAGCCACGCTAGGAAACTATAGCACGGCGATGAGGAAATTAGAGAAGTTCGGTGAGGTTCAAGGGATGAAGCAAGGAGACCTTTTACCGTTGAGCCAGGAGAGGCTGTGGGAATTCGTAGTTTGGGCAGGTAGACAATGCAATCTAAATTTAGAAGACGAGAATGTTTTAGAGAACATGAATACCAGTCACAAGATAACAGCGAAAACTCTTACCAAGTACATCACAGGCATCCGATCTTGGCACCTCTTTCATAATCTACCCTTCCCAAATGAAAACGATAAAATTGTTAAACTCTTACTGAAAGCTTCAAGCCATGCAGATGCAAAAGAGAAAGAGAAATCAACGTCAGCCCTGAAGTCAGCGGTAACTTTAAGGCACTTAGCTGAATTGGCAAAAGACTTATTGAGTGGTGATCAGAAAGAAAGGATAGCACTAACGGTGGCATTAATCGCTTTCTGGGGGATGGCAAGGTTGGGAGAATTAGTTTCAGACACTAAAGGGAAAAGATCAGTTTCGTACAAAGATGTGCTTTTTAATAGCGGAAGAACTTACATGAAGATAGCCTTATACAACGCAAAAACCGCCAAACCCGGGGAGATACAGTGGTTGAAGATTGACCAGATTCCTTCGTTATTATGTCCTTGTAAGGCGATGATACGACTGATAGATGAATACACCGTACCTTCGATACACCTACCGTTGTTCTCTTACTATGAAAAAGGGAGATTGAACACACTAGCGAAATCATCAGCAATGAACATATACAGGAAGGTGTGGAAGAAGTATGACCAAGATTCAAACCTGTCGGGTCATTCCTTCCGAATAGGAGGGGCTACGTTCCAATGGAACGACAAGCAACCATTGGATGAGATTGTTAAGGTCGGTAGGTGGGAGTCGAAAGCCTATCAACTTTATCTAAGAAAATACACGACAGAAGATATAGATGATGCAAAGATCGTTTGGGAAGCGATGAAATTGAAAATACAAGACAGGGAGAAGAGTGAAAGAGAAAAAGATTATGTCGAGTAGACTAAAAAGCTTACCGTTTTGTATTATGAGTATTAAAAAAAAAAAAAAAAAACCTTTTTTCGTTAGTTTTGGAGATAGGAAACAAAGGGGAAAGAGATAGAACATGTATAATGCAGTGAGTAGCGTACCTTTACCTATGCGGGTTGGGAGACAAGTAAAACATAAGTGAGAAGGATAAGTGAGAAGGATATTATCCAATTGAATGGAAGATCGACATAGTCAGACAGGTTTGTGGGAGAAGAAGTCGTACACAGAAGGGGAGATACGCACTCGGGACATACCGAGGCAGGCTCTCCGCAGGCTCCGGACGATACGTCCCGAGAAGAGGTAGCAGAGAGCCTACCCGGTCTGGAGACCTGCGGCCTAACGGCCCCCCCCAAACACACCATGTAGCTTAGTAGCTTAGTATTTTCTGATACTAGGTTATGTGGTAAAAGGTTGAAAGACTAGAGTAGTCACTTAGCGTGATTTGTTAAGATGAAATTAAGAAAACTGGAGAAAACGTGAAAGACAAAATATGAAATTAATATAGTTAAAAATCAAAATAAAAACCTCACACGTGAAGAGAGTTTCTATGGAATGCAACAGGTGCCCAAAGGAACGACGGCACCTGTGTAGTTCCATAGAAACTCAGGGATGAACGGAAAGAGGCACAACCCGGTACCAGAATAGAGGTACCGGACCAAAAGACATACAGTCTTGTGAAGACTTCGAAAAGGTGGAATTTCAAATTTGAAATTCTACCTTAGAGAAAACTTTCCTTCATCCCATCTTCACTATCTTCTAGAATAAAACAACAGGTAACAAACACAATCTCATTATTTCAATTAGTCAATTTTCTTTTCCATCCCACCCGCCCCAACACCCGACCACGCAGAGAGCCTACCCGGTCTGGAGACCTGCGGCCTAACGGCCCCCCCAAACACACCATGTAGCTTAGTAGCTTAGTATTTTCTGATACTAGGTTATGTGGTAAAAGGTTGAAAGACTAGAGTAGTCACTTAGCGTGATTTGTTAAGATGAAATTAAGAAAACTGGAGAAAACGTGAAAGACAAAATATGAAATTAATATAGTTAAGGGCCCGTTCGGTTCGGTCGGTCACATATTATGTGACCGACTTTTACACCAAAATTGTTACATACAGTGATATAATATATGGACCATATATTACCCATATAGTCGCTTTTACATAGCCGTTCGGTTCGAATATGTGACGTCAATATCTCATCGCACATCTTCAGATATTCGTCCAAATAGAGATACAGCCTTTGGGCTGTATCTACAGCCTCTTTCTCAATCTGCCCCTCCCCAATCTATCTACTTCGTCCATACCCTTCTCCTTATCTCGATACCCGCACACCCTCTTTCCAACGTCTCTTTTTATTCCTCACCTTTCCTCTCTCCTTTGCTCAGCTATCCTCGAAGATTCTTCCTCCAGCTAGTTCATCAAACTCGCTATCAAATTCGATATTAGTTTCCAATTTCATGATTCTTTTATCTACTCCAACTGGCTATTGAACTCGCTAGTAGTCCTCAATTCAATCGATCTATCATTAAATCCCTATTAGTTCTTGATTCAATAGATCCTTTTATTCACTTTTTGGCCATTGAATCAAATTCAATATTAGTTTCCAATTCCTTGATTTTTTTTATGAAGCTTGTTTGTAGGTGAACGAGAAGAATGATGAGAATGGTCTTTAATGACTGTTTGATTTTTTATGAAGCTCGTTTGTAGGTGAACGAGAAGAACAAAGAGGGTCTTTAATGACCGTTTTGATTTTTTTGGGGGGAGCAATCGAACAGATTGCATCTCGTTACAATCATTACCGAACAGCGATATGATCAACGGAGGTCAACAGACGTCTGTTGACCTCCGTTTGGATTTCTGTTTGGTAATCTCAATTCCCGAAATACGAATATCTCTATCTGCCCCTTCATATAGGGGCAAAATGAGATTTCGTTTTCAGGGCATATAATATGCGAAAAGGAACCGAACAGGCCCTAAAAATCAAAATAAAAACCTCACACGTGAAGAGAGTTTCTATGGAATGGGTATCACAATGAATGTTCCTTTTGAAGTCAGCTTTGAATACAAATTATTCCATTATATGACCTTGTTATGACATCATTGACATCAGTTTCTATTCAATTTTTACACTAGCACCCATCCATCTCATACCAAACAAGATACATGTCAGGCGGAGAGAACAAGGTTCATCAAAGGAGCAGACTGAGTTACTCCCGCAAGTTCTGGCATCCAAAAGGCAACAGGGGGCTGAGCCGTACATCTGTGGCATTTGTCGATTCTTCTAGTGGGTCGTGCCTTTGACAAAGGCACGACTCCAAAGCTACCTCACCTCAATAAACCTTCATCAACACAAATCGTGTCAATGAATCATTCCAGTACCATCGCGAGTCTCAGATACAAAAAAAGTATCTTAATGTAATTATAGAATATGAGAAAGAGCTTAGATGCAAAAAACAATGAAGAGGATTACAAGATACAAGAGGAGAAAGATTTAAATCAGATCAAGAACAACAGGATAACAATTCAAGACAAAAAAGCATTCCAAACAAGATAAAATCCTAGACAAGAACCAAGTGAACAATCAGAGCGCGTGTCCAATACAAGTTGATCTAAATAAAATGAACCACTCATATTGACATCGCTTTGAATACGAACGGTTGGTAGTTAAGTCTTCTAACAGGAGCTGTTAGATCAAACGGTGGAAGGAGACCATTCTTTTGAATAGCCTCGCGGTCATTGATTGGCTTGATAAGACATGCCACTTGCTTGATCTTACTTGATAATCTTGGAATCATCCCAGTTGTAGGCGAAGGAGTTCCACTCGATTTATCAATCCTTCTTGTTGATGGTAAAGTTAGAGATGGCGTCGTGAGATAAGAGGTACGAGCCGATCCTACTAACTGACGATGACTTGAAGAGGATAAACCCGATTGTACGACACTTGGGACCATCGTCTTTGAGTGCTTGTCTCTGCTAGAGTGCCTGATCGGTGTAGATGATGGGCAACGTAACACATCGTCCCCATTTCCTGACATTGGAGATGAAGAGTTCGGAATGATCGATTGTGAACGTTTCATCGCTTTAGGTTTCGTTTGAGCTTCGTATCCTAAAGCCTAAATTGAAAATCAGATGCGTGTAAGCAAAATCCAATTCCGAAGATTTTAAAGATATAGAAAGAGAAGGAGAGAAATGAACGGAATGGAGACAAACCAAGTCATCTTCCTCTTCAATTTCTGCTGTCTCGTCCTTCACATCCTCAAAGTGATAGATCAACCTTTGACTGAAGTTGTGATTGACCGGGAATCCAGCGGGTACACGGATAGGAACCTTGGTCTATAGTGAAAACCATGTCAGAAGGATTGAAAATTGATCTTGAAATATTAAAAAATCACTTACCGATCTTTGACATGCATATTTATGAGATGTCAAAGTGTTGATGGATCTAGCTAGTGCGATCAAGAGTGGATCGCAATCATCCTTTCAAATCGACAGAGAAAACGAGTGAAAGCGAGGATCAGCAGCAGAAGAGAAGATAGGATGTTAGAAAGACTTACTAGTTTCGATCCCTTGGCGGACTCCTCGTAATCCTTCGAACCCTATGGGTTGAGATCATGGCGTTCAATACTCAGTAAACTCATCATCATAACTCAAGAATAGAGGTAAAGACTGACTTTGAAATTCGAGGATGAGATCCCTAAATCTTTGTTACCTTTGTTTGATAACTTTAATGCCGTTAGAATTCTGGCACGAACGCATGGTTGAGATGATGAAGAGTTCATGATGAGTGATGATGATAGATGAACGATTAGAAGTAAGATAAAAGTGTTTAGCTCAGGGAAGATAGATCGGATCAAAAGATTCGAAGTGAGATTGGTAAGTGATGTAAAGTGATTTGGGATGAGATGATGGTGGGAATTATGTTGCGATGGGAAGGAAGGAGGTTTTATTTATACCAATTGGGTGAGGATGTGGTTCGGGTGCCTATCTGCTCAGGTACCACCGAGACTTCTGGTGTCCTTGATTAAATCAATGAGCTGTTCAATTTCTTGATCAGGCACCCAATTTTGTCTATGGTCGTTTGAATCAGGCGTCTCGCCATCTGATCTTCGGAAGTCAAGAATGATCCTGCAAAAGTACGAAAGGTAGACTTTTGAACGAAGCTCAGTCAGTGAAGAATTTTCCACTCAACGTTCATTCACAAGTTGGCATCATCAGCCGAATTCATCACTACAACCACTTGGTTTTGATTCTTTTATTGATTTTTGTTGATCAGGTCTCAAAAGCACAAGCTCAGAGAAAAAATGGCTGAAGTGCATGTGACAACATTCCTCGGGATTTCCCTTGTTTGCCTCTTCCTCTTGTTCTGCCAGGTACATGATCAACTATGTATAGGCCTTACATCACCATAATTGTTTGCAGAAATGCGAGCTTGGCATCGGTCAAAATACTTCCAAAGCCTATATGCGTGTTTTGACTCAGCTGCGGAATTCTCAATGAGTGATCCATTGGTAGCACGATGTAGATTTGACGCCACTTCCATGTGCTCAGATCTTGAGTCAAGTGGTGACATAATCGGAAAATCATGTCCCTGTCCGTCTGCATTCTGAGGATATGTTTTACTAGAAGTCATTGCCAAGATTGTGAATACCTTCCAAAAGATGTAGAACACAACGGTGAGCGTACAATGTGTACGGCTTTCGACTCTCTTTTCATGTTCTTAGACCGAGCACTCTAAACTTCGCATAACGTATGAGTCAAGCTGATCAATTAGGTTACAGAAAATCCCTGATGTTCTGTGATTGTGCTTTGAGATCCAGGCGCTGTTGAACCGCAATGCACTTGACTATAGCTTAAAGTTGTGTCACCCTTCTATCATTGAGAATTTTTTGTACTCCTTGAACTTACGTCTGGAAGGAAACTTTGTTGAATGATTTGCGTTTCAGACAATCAAACAGAATAGTGAGTCAAAATTGCTCAGGCTGCGGAACAGATGACAGTGCTACTTCCAGGATCCAGGTGATGGAGTGCCAATTCTCCCAAATTTTCCAAAGGGTCTATGGACCCACCAGAGCCGACTTTGGTGCGTCTGTAAGATTGGAGTAGTGAGGCACAAGAATATGATGCTTACATGAGCCACGCCCAGGCGATGTACTCAAAAGCAGGGTATCGAGCCAATGGCCTTCAACTTCTCATATCCCATCCTCATCCCCTCTGATTGGTTCTCCTTGCGCGTAGTGTAGCTTTTTCTCCTTCTTCTGAACGATATCTTCTTTCCCTCATACGCAGCTTTCAAAGGCCTGACCAACCAAGCCAAGCATTGCAGGGGTATTTTCTTGCCTTTTTGACAAAGCTTCAAACGCACGCATACATCAGCACAAATCTCAATATCATGTTATCTTCACATGCAGCTATCTTTCTGGGTCTCTGTATCTTTTTACCAAGCGTAAGCCACCTTTGAATACAAAATCATATAATTAATTTTGAGAGTTTTATCAAAGTTAATTCAAAGTGAAGGGTTTTGTTTTTGTCTCGCTCTCCTTAGTTGACTTCGGCAGGCCATTCACACCCACCTCAGACTGCAGATATGTTTTGGCGTTGGCAAGATAAAGGAGACTCAGATCCAAGTCATCACAATATCTTCACCGGTAAAGCTACAGCTACCTGGACTAGAACCGAAAGCTGTTTAAAGAGAGACGCGTACGAAGATATGCACCCATTTATCACTGGCACGCCTGTGACTATCAAGGCGGTGACCATCAACAATAGTAAAGATTACATGGATCCAAACAGCGTTTATAATTGGGGACATGCGAGACACTCCACCTCTATATACTGTAACGCGCATTCGAGGACTGACTTCTGGATTTACAGAGCTGGAGATCGATCACAAGGGATGAAGATCCGATTTCCTGATGTAAGCTTTCATCGGATGTCTATGACACTTACCCATCCACTTTACCAAAGTTGTTTTGGACGGACACGAATGCTCGGGTTTCTTACGCCTGATTTTTTTCTCTCAACACACGATATATCGACGATGCGTGATGTTTGCATGATCCATTTCTCATTTCATTAGATTTGTACCGGTACGCAACACAATTCGATTTATCAGGACTCTGTCTTCTCCGCAATCTAAACTTCATCAACTTATCATATATTTTTATTTCGGGGGCTTTCGACAGATAAAGACTGTCCAGGTCCAGACAAAGAGATACCAAATGTTCAATGTCTGAATGGTCAGTTTTTTATTTATATTGATCTGTTGGCATCAAGATTTTGGTTTCTCAATCCATGCTTCTATCTACACACTCAAACACAGGTCCAAAAGGAAGGCTCGTCATGTACCGTGACAAGTGGATCAATGAATGCATCGATCCTTGAGCTTAAATAATCTACCTGCCCATGCCCTCATTGCGAGTCGAGGGAGAGGAAAATAACGTCTTCATATTTTTTGTTTTTAATCTCTTCCTATCTTCATTTTTCTAGTCTTGTAGTACTGACTAATTCACCTCTGAGGAGCCTTGATGGACGATATTCCTCAATTTTGGCCAATACAAAATCAGGAGCCTGTGCCCACAATCAATGTGAATTTTGCGCGCGGAAGGGATTTTTACAGATATTTCTGCAGGCGTGGTGCTGTCATACTATGTGCTCAATGGATCAAAGCATGTTGGTGCATGTGGGCCATCATGTTGAGCCTGTAACATTAGACTAGCCTCTAATGCGTATCTCTGTAGTAGTCTGTAGTCCTTTGTGCGCGTGAAGGATATGTGATATCTTATCCTTGTTTCTACTTTGCAGCTGCAGGCAGTTATCTCTTTGTCCATCATGATTCATGCCCCATTTTTTTATCTTCATCCCAGTTGGCCTTTTGGGTTCAATTTGGTGGGGAGCGTAACAGTATCAGTCTTTTTCTGAGACTCTGTCGCTCTGAGACTCTTCTGAGACTCTCTCTGAGCTACAAAAAATAGTGGCTGTCTGTATACAGTGTGGTCACAAAAGGTGGCACTCCATAGTTCAATTGCACAGTGTACCATACCAAGGGAACCAAGATGGTCCGAGCTATTGGAATTCATCAACATAACATCAAAAGAAGTCGTCAACGCATCAAGGCATCAAAACACAAACACTTATCTCGACTTGAGGCTTTTCTTGGAACAAAATCAATCAATGAATCACAGAACTGAAAAACAAGAATTCAAAGAATGATCAAATTAAATCCATCAATGATTCATTTTACATGGGGGGCTAATGGTTCTACATTTGAAACTAGTTTTGTTCAAATCAAATTTGATATCCTACTTGTTTACATTTAACTTGCACAAACTTTTCAATCGATTTATGAAACCATTTCCAAGCTCGACCAAAGCTCGTAAGCTCATCTATTGGTAAGTCTGGACTGAGCTTTGTCACTTCTTACTCATCCAACATATGTTATATCTTTGAATCCTCTGATCACATTAACGGCTTCTTATAAAGCTGAAACGTTGTAAGTATTTTCTATTAGGGTGTCCTTTTCATTACAATTGGCTCGTTTGGAGCGATTAATTTTTTAATCATCTGTTTATTGTTTCTCTTACTTCATTCAATTCGTATCTTTGTAGCTCTAGTTTTCACAGAGCTTATATGTGACTGTGTGATTCTGACTCTTGCTGACCCAACCTCTTGATTTGACGTTTTGATCAAATTAACGTAAGCTACATATTTGTCTTCTATTTCCCAACTTTCCTTCAAATCGTTTTGATTGAATACCTGTGTACAGGCCTAGAAGTTCAGCGAATCAAAACAAAACACACCTCTCGAAAACAGGCGCCACTCGAGAAGAAATTATACTATGCCTGTATGTCCCAGGGCTCGTCTCAGCGCAGTCTCAGAAAAAGACTGATACTGCATCTCTCCTATTTGGTGGGTTGATTGGCAATTTGGTGTTGAGTTACGTGGCCAGATGTTGGGCAGAAATAGGAGATACCCAGTATGTATTCTGGCAGAAAGTCGGATTTATCTCACTTTTGAATTTAAGTTTTGACTTTTGAGGTTTTGTCACCTGTGAGCTCGCCTGGAAGATCACACACGTCATCGGGGGCGGTGAAGTTGGACTTGAGAAAACATTTGACCCGCTTACAAAACCGTGGTCATCTGAATTGAACCACTCAGGAATCACGATAAAGAACTTACCTCTCAAGATGCGGCTAACGTTCATCATCGATTCAGTCGAGGAACCTTTTGGGATCGATCTTGACCCATCCATCACCCTTGAAGACTTGGGAGCACTGCTAGAAATCGAGGTAAATCAAGACATCATATCTCATGATGACCATCAAAACTCATCATGTGGTTCACGTTTTTAGCTACGGATACCCACCACAGAGCAACAAATATTTTACAACGGAAAACGATTGAACCAGCCCACAAGTAGTACCTTGGCGTCGTGTGGGATTACTTCTGATGACATGCTGGAATTGAGACGACTCACTGCATCTTCTTCTCAGCCGAGTTCTACACCAGCTGTCGCTGGAGGGTCAGTCTAGAGAAGCCATTCGATCACTGCAATCATTTATCCTTGAAAATCGAAACACGCAGCAACTTATTTTCAATACTTTTCTCGCTAGAAACATTGCAAATGACCTTGATCGGATGAGATTGCAGATCCTGGGAGATCCAGCGCTGATGGCTCAGCTTCGAGCAGTTTGAGTTCAATTTCCCTTTTCGCGGCGAGGATTCAGTATCTTGGGGTGATTAGAAGGAAATTCACACTGACTTATTGTCGCGTGCCGTTTGAAAATCCTCAGTCTAACCCCGAAATGGCCAACGCTGCTGAAACCTCTCCTGAAAGGTTTGCACAACTCATGAGTAATTTTCAGCAACAACATCAACACGCCGCTGTTCAGCGACGTCAGGATGAAGAGCTTTTAAACTCGGATCCCTATGATATCGAAGTTAGTGTTATCCTCGTTGATCTCTTTCCGCCGCTCAATTCCACAGCTCATGCCCACTCTTAGGCTCAACGAAGGATTGAAGAGCATATCAGACAAGAACGTGTATGGGAAAATATGCAGCATGCAATTGAATTTTCACCCGAGAGTTTCGGCCGGGTAACAATGTTGTATGTGGATGTCGAAGTCAATGGGCATCCAGTCAAAGCTTTTGTCGATTCTGGAGCACAAATGACCATCAGTTCAGTGAGGTCCCCTCACGATTCATTCTGTCACAACAACCTACTCACTTGTCACTTCCAATCTGCTTACATTTGACAAACTCAGTGAGCCCGGAGTGTGCTCAAACCACGGGGTTTGTCACTCACTTGGGCCGTTGAAATCGTGTTGATAGCTGATCCTCGCTCCTCTATCTCACCACAGCATTATGAGGCTTATCGATGAGCGCTTCAGCGGGATCGCGCGAGGCGTTGGTACGGCCAAAATCTTGGGCCGAGTTCATTCAGCACAACTGAAAATGGCAGATCTGCATTTACCATGCTCCTTCACCATCATGGAAGTAAGCCACGAGAGTTTTTCTTTGTCGTGACTCAATTCTCCATCATAGCATGATCTAATCTTCGTGAAATTGTCTTACCTCACGAACAGGGAAAAGGAGTCGACCTCTTGTTCGGATTGGACATGTTGAAACGACATCAGGCAATCATTGACCTCTCCAAAAATGCGCTGATCATCCAAGGTCGAGAGCTGAGATTCCTAAACGAGCATGAACTACCCGAGGAAGCTCAAGATGAACCAGCAGAATTGGAGCAAGCCAAAAAACAATCTTTGTTGGAAGATAACAGTCAAAAAGTCATTGCAGACGCTGCTAATCGGGCTGCTGCGGGTGGCGAAGCGTCTCAATCAGTAGGTGCAGGGGCCAGTGAAGCGGGTCTGGGAGCGAAGGAAAAATCTAAAGTTGATGCTCTGATTGCGTTGGGGGCAACCAACGAACAAGCATTGGCTCTGCTCCGCTCGACTAATTGGAACGCAGATTATGCAGCCAGTTTGTTGTTCAATCAGTAGTACTAGGAGCGGGCTTTCATGATGAGCTGTTGTAATGTTAACTGAATGAGTTGGACTTTGCTTGCCCGCTGGAATACACAATCGCAGTTGTCGCTGTAATGGTATCAATCGCGATTTGGAGCCCAAGTGGGCCTCATTGGGGATCAATTTGATCAATTGCGAAATGATCCTCAAATATGACAGTCTGCATGAGTGATTACATAGTAAGTCCACACTCATTTGCGGATGGCATGCTCCATCACTGAATCTTTGCGTATGTATGTCTGAGTGCCCTGCCCCTTTGCCACCATTGGGATCCATGTTCAAGCTAAGCCCAGGAATGGAATCTACAACAGAACTGCCAGTCTAGCTTACTAAGAATTCCGATGGTAATGGCTTATGATCGTCACGCTGATTCATTGGTTTGTTGATCTTGGCAACAGTCTGTTTTCAAAACATTTTACATGCTGCAAGCTGTACTATGGCTCGTAAGACTCGCCGGCGATGAAAGCTCACCCCGTCAACCTGTTTATCGATCACCCCACGCAGGAAAGTAGCCTACCGACAAAGTCATTGTGGAGATCCCTAATAGTGATCTTGCAATGAACCTGATCCTGCATTCTACAAAGATTCCTGATGCGCTTCAACCGATTTATGCAGCGTCACTTCCCCATCGTTAGTCCAATGTGCGCGAAAAGCTTGTCAATCTTGGCATGCATGCAGGTTGAAGAGCTCGCGAGGCCAGAGGATCTCGGGGAGACGATTTATGACCATCAAAAGGACTCAGACGAGAGGGAATCAAATGATAGTCCGCCGAATGCAAAAGCAATCGAGAGATAGAACTGTAAGTTGGAACTTATTAGAATCAAATAAAGGTGGAGGTGTTCGAGGAAGCAGTGATTTTGGGTATGTTCCAGCGGCTCGATCACCCTGCGGACTCGACTGCGATTTTCACTCAAGTGCTCGCAGGGTGACATCAAAGATGGGGCTTACCCTCCTCAACCAACGTGATGAACCCTGATAAATTGTCCAGATGAATCAGTGGTTGCCTTGAGACGTCTTCAGTCGGACTACCCCTACCTCTCTCTATTGCTTCTATCCGCTGTGGAGCCTTTCTAAAATCATTTCCTTTCTGTCAGGATTCCAGAGACTCTCATTATCATCAAGAAGAAGCTCAAAGTCAAGCTTGATGTTTCTTTCCGAACGCCATGCACCAGCGTGGGATGTACTCCAGGCTGGAAGTAACGTTAAATCATCAGCTGAAGACCAATCAGCTCATTCCAGTCGACGGGATTCTGCAATTCACTATAGTCCTTCAGAGTTACAAGCCCTCAACGGTTATTTAAAAACACTTGAACCAATTGAAATCCTTGACTGGGCGGTCGATCATCTACCAGCACTTCATCTCATTACTGTTTTTGATCTCTCAAGTTGTGCAATAGCGAGTTTATTTTCCAAACTTTCAAAACGTCGAAACTCATCTCGTCCACTTGTGAAATTCCTCTTCATTGATACGCTTCATCAATTTCCTCAAACCACACAACTTGCACAACGTCTCACGGACCATTATTCTTTGGATCTTCAAACTTTTTATCCTCTTGGAGCTAACACGGTGGCTGAGTTCGAGATGTTACTTGGTCCTAAATTATGGGAAACTGACTCTGCAATTTACAATTACATTACCAAGGTGAAGCGCTCAATTCCAAGTTTCTTTATGTGTGAGGTATTGACTTCATCTATCTTTTACTTTGATGTGTGGCGCTACGTAGGTTGAACCTACCAGAAGAGCTTTTGAAGAAGTTGGTTTTCAGGCCGTGGTGAAGGAGAATATCTGGACAACCGACCTACAAGGGAGAAACCAATCCCGACTTCCAATACTTGAAGTTGACGATACCGGGGTCATCAAAATCAACCCATTGAACAAATGGACATGGGAGGAAACCTGGTCATATGTGAAAGCTGAGAGCGTACCCTATAATTCTTTATTGGACATTGGATATCGTCAAATTAATGATTTTCATTCCACTAAGATCCCAGAGATCGTTATACCAAAGTCAATTATTCAAAAAGAAGTTGGTCAATGGAGAAAGACGGGTCAAAATTTAAGCCTCTTGTATCAAATAAATCCGAAAAAAATTAAAAGGTGTAAGCACAAAGTTCAATCCCAATTATTCATCTCATTTTACATCTGCTGACGATACGTATCACATTCCTTATGATCAAATCAGCTTTACTTCCTGTCATCACAACTGGTCAAAGGTAAATCTCACACTTGCTAAACATTCAGGCATTGACGCTTAGAAACTCACATGAAGTACGTTTGCATTGGATGAACAGTAACAGTAGATCGAAAGCCTGATCTATCTATGATCCAAAACCTTGATAGACTCTTTGATATAATCACTGGCTTCTTTTGAAGAGTACATTATGTTTGATACCAGTTTGATCAAACTAGTATCTTGCTCTTGTCCTGTGCAATGAAACATGATATGTCCAGGGAAAAGACACAACATCCACCCTTCTCATTTCTCTCAAACTTGATGCAATGCACTTTGAAATTGAAAATGAAATCTCAGAATTGATTTTGAACCTGATGTAGAGGAGGAGAAGGCAAGACAGCTCAAGGTCCTTAAACCCCGATGCATGTTGTTAAATCCTCACCAGCAAGCTTTTCTATCAGCTTGCGTGTTTGAGACCTTATCATTACAAACCACTAAAACTCATCAAACAATGATGTTTTCGAGATTTCGGCTGCTGATAAAGTCGATCATGGATAATGCTGACCAGACGAACCCAATTGTAGTATAAATACTGAGCTTTACCTGAAAGTCTACCTTTCTCACTGCTCACGAGACCTTAATCAACCTCGAAGCTAAGAAATGGCGGGGAGACTAATTAACAAAGCGCATGATGAAAATTTGGTACCTGGTCATGACTTGGAAGCTGACGGTGACCTCATGGGTCTCACTGAGCACCTCGAAGGCCTCACTGATGTCTAAATTGATATAAATATCAACTCTTTCCTCAATCCCACATTTTTTACAAACCAACTCTATCGCTTCACTACTCTGACCATTGCCAAGACGAGTGTTCTGATCAGATCCATATCCCATAAACTGCTGTTTACAAATCCCTTGCTTTTCCTCCACTCATAATCATTCTCCAAATCTCACCACTCATCTTCTTCAATGCATTCTCAACCATCCCGACCCGCATGCATTCGAGCGAAACTTTTATCCGCACTAAATTTAGCGGAAAAAGGCAACAAGGATCTAGGAGTCGCATCAAACAATATCACAGTCAGTCTTCTACCTTTCTTGTCTAGTGATGATGATGACCGCGAAACATCGAATATCAGCCTTTCTATATAACACTTCCTTGTTCTTTCAAACCCTGATCTGATTATTTACTCTTTTGTTTATGATTTGAAAGGATCAAAGTGATCCACTGTTGACTGCACTAGCTAGATCCAACAACACTGTGACATCTCACAGATACGCGCGTCAAAGATCGGTATGTAATTTTTTCACTGGCCTTTCGTATACTCTACCTGTCTGACAAGATTTCATTTTGTAGACTAAGGTCCCTGTTCGTGTCCCAGCTGGATTTCCCATCAACCAAAACTTCAGTCAAAGGTTAATCTGTAGCTTTGAGGATGCGAAGGGAGAAGATAAAGATATTCTGGTTTGTTGTCATTCTCTCATCCTCTTTGTATCTATTTATAATGTTTGGAAATGATGCGCAAGTGGATCACTGCAAGATTCATAAATCCCTGGAGATTTGATCGAACTGACACATCTGATCTTCCTTTAGGCTCTAGAACACAAACTGCAAACAAGAGCCAAAGTTCTGAAGTGTCTAGACTTGATCATCCCTGACTCGCCGTCGCCCAACTCTCCGGTCTTACGAAGTGAAGATGAACTGATACAGTGGTTATTATCAACATCAAACACTCAACCGGAAGAAGAAAAGAATTCAAAGACGATGGCATCGAGTGTCTCAGGATCAAGATCTATTGATTTATCTTCGGGCAACACACCAAGTCATAGTCAATCAGGAGGATCAACGTCTTACTCGTATCTCCCTACGCCACCTCTAAGCTCCTCATCAACTGGAAGGAGTCACCACTCAAACAAAACTCCTTCTTCTTTGAGCTGGGCAATTCCGAGACCAAGTAGGCTTAAACGATCCCAAGAGACTAAGAAGGATTGAACCGTTCACTTCTTGACAGACTTTTGGATTCTTGATTTGATTTGTTTCTTGCACTGGACCTTTTTTGCACTCGTGTTGTTTTCTTTCATCTTATTCATTTATCTTGTAGTTTAGGGTTTCATTTTTTGTGTTGCATTTGTTATCCAATCATCCTTCATCCAATCATCCTTCAAAGATATTGTACACATACAAAGTGATCAATACTTGGTAGCTAAGACTTGTTTTGATTCTGAAATGATCCATCAACATGTTTGGTGTTGATGATGAATAATATTTTGATGTTGTTGGAATTTTCATGATCAAGTTTGTATTGGACACCCAAAGAACCAACGTTTCCAGTTCGCGGAAGGTCGTCGGACTTGCGATACGCCGGTGCTTCAGAAAGAGATAGGTCACAAATAGAAGACTTGGGAACGAAAGAACTGAACATATACTAGAGATCAGTAAGAGGTTGCGAGAAACAATTAGGAAATCAATGTTTCGATTTCATTTGGTAAGATGCCAGATTGAAACAAAATCTGGCTTTGTGGTACGTGCATCTTACAACGCCTTATGTGCCTATGATCATGTGAATACTCGAGGTTGCCTGACGGCAACATCAATGCTCTTGCTTATAATTTTTTGGTCAAAAAATTGACAAAGGATGATTTCAATGAAGGGTTGATCCTCTTCCAGTACAATTAGAAAAAGGTGATCTTATGTCTTTGAGGGTGTGACACCTTGTGGAGGAGGCAACTGCCAACATTCAAAATTACAGAAATAAATGACAGATTATACGGAGCTCGGGCTCTCTGCAAGTCCTTTTTGAAGGGTAGATTCTTAGCTTTCTCTACGCGCCAAAACAAAACTCTAAGATCTGAACAACATTTGGGACAGGGACCTGCCCAGACTAAGTTGTAACACAATTTTATTTGGATGCAGCCATGAATCCGGGGTATCTAGAACGGTATGCGGATGCGTATACAAAAAAAGCTCTGGAAGGAGCAATCACAGCCAAGATTCTGATGCTGTGTTAAGATTGAAAACAGATGTCGTGGTTTGTGAAGATGGTGTGCTACTGAACGACGATCAGATGGGTAGATTGCCGGCTTCTCGGCAGGCTACTACGATTCCGTCATTATCATCGAGCTGTTTCTTGATTGCTGAGACGTAGTTATAACAGTGTCAGTTATATGTATGAGATTAGTCACATCTTCCCCAATTCTTAGGCTCACCAGGAATTCGTAGATCACAAACTGGAATAGTGAAAACGCATTCACTGTTCATCCTGTTTTCGCCGGGTCTGTTTGCAGATTGAAGTTTGTTCCTCGTCAGGAACTAGTCGCCTGATTTTGTAGCATATATAAATGAATCTGAAGATATGACTCACGCGACTGTCCCGTTGACAGATTTTTGTTGACAGCTCCAAGCTTCAGTGACTAGGTAACGGGTTTTATACCCATACTTCGATTCGAGCAAGTGAGAATTGGTGACTTTTTCCACCAGATGATCGCCATCAGCCTGGACAATGTTCATCATTCTAAGGACGAAAACATTTCTCGTCATTTAGTGCATATTTTATAACAGAAAATATTTTCTGACTCACAAGCCATCGTCAGCACAGTAAGACAACACGTCTTCACCCTCTAAAGCTCCATTGGGGCCATCGCTGGTGCAAGGATGCTATGGACGATGGGTAGAAGTTTATTTAATCATCTTGATGATGACACTATTGATGAGTTGTGAGGTACGTACTTGGCCAAGGAGAACGAAAATTTTCTGTGAATTGATGGATGACCACGATCAGAAGCCGAGCCATGAGGTCAAGGGACTGAAAGGTAGCGGATTGAAGAGGGACTTTACCAAAGACTTGAACAACTCTGACATGACTGTAAGCTGAGCAACCTCTCGTGCACCTAGTTGAAGCGACGACTTGCTGGGATTAGGTGTGAGGTAAACCCCGTCTTTCAAGAGGTTTGATAAACCTTGATCTGAATGGATCGGGTTATTCAAAATCGCACCCATTTTGTTGAAGAGCACAGTTTTGAGTTTAGCATGCAACATAGTGATGTCTGAATCTAATTTAGCATACTGAGTAAAGGACCTTGAATCAGTTCCATTTTCCGTAAAGAGAACATTCATTTCACAAATTGTTCAGTCGAATCTAAGAAAACTTACAGCCGCAAACAAGTCGGTGGAAAGCGTTTCTTGTACATGTCGTCTAACCAGTCCAGTAGTGGCAACAGTCGGAATGACGGCAAGTGTCTCTCCTGTAGCGGCTTCAGCAGCCACGCTATCAAGGAGCACAAACGCAATCGGTCCAACATAAGCAATGACGGCCGCCGTGAGCAAGACGAGACCAGCAAGGGATCCGCCGAAGATTGCAAGACCTGTCCAGTTTGCGGTTTCTTTCGGGGTACTAAAGTAGAGAACAGACTGTTAGAAGCTGAACCAATATTCACTGAACGAGAAGTTTAAACCCACAAATCTACGATGGCCGACACTGCAACCTCTGCGTGAGGTAAGATGATACGATGGAAGTCGAATTACCCATCAGTGACCAAAGATATCGGTAGGGTTTTGGTGTACTTGTCAGTGAGTTTAAATGACTTACCGCGGACTATGTTGATAGCTGACTCGATGGCCTCATATAAAGAGTTCATGTAAAAGTTCCATTGCTGGGTAGAGTAAAGTACCAACCAATCCATCTTTGGAACAGGGGCGCAAGGCTATTCATGAGACAAACATAGAGGATGGGATTGTGAGCCATCAGACCAAAGTTGCTAGCTGAAAGACCCTCGCACCTGACCAGCCATGCATCGCCTTCCAATCCCACAAAAGAAGTTAGCGGCATGCACACTCTTGGCATATTGCTATAAGATTTGGTGGTCCGGAAATTGTAATATCAGTTCATGTGTCAGAATCGGAACCCAATGACTCAAATTAGGTATCGCCCGCCGAGTTGAAGGATTTCATGATTGAGTTGACTTACAGACAATGTGATATTCTGAGCACCTGGAAAGTTTTCTAAGTATGTGTTGAGCTGAAGGTTCTTCCATAGCTCTGGAGTGATGGGCTCTGCCAAACAACTATTGTTCATGATTTGTTGTACAATTTCGCTCATGTTTGATCGTCGAGGGTATGCTTAAAGCTCGATTGTTAAAAGAGTGGATGCTGAGAGTAGTTCAAGAACGCCGGGCAGGGCAAAATGTGATGATGGTGATTTTAAAAAGGCAAGCCAGATAAATATTATGGGTAGCGCAGGGTGAAAAAGGTCGGACGGGGGGAAGATGAGCTGAGCAGATGGGTGGAGTCTTATGTCTGGATTGTATATTTGAGGCACTCAGCGATTATCCATCCGCACCACCGGTTCGCTCCATGAAGGTGAAATTCTGCGCTGTACTTTTTAAATTTTTAACGAAACTCATCTGTTTCAAAGGTGAGACGTGCCGGGAGTCGGAATCAGCTTATAGTGAGCAGTCGAGTCAGTCTGAAAAAATTGGTGATAGGTTTGTACCGTGCACAGATGATATCCTTAAACGCATTAAACTGCTTCTTAAAGCTTGGCTAGGCTTGATGACCACTCAAGTTTGTTTCAACTTGCAAGCATCACCGACGATCCGTTCCATCTACATATATCATCGTCTCACATGACTTGAGATCAAGGAAGCGAACGATATGTATAGGTCTGATATATACTATGCTTGTACTCATCGAATATCCTTCATCATGCTGTTTTACTTTTATAATTGAAGCAAGCGAAGGCATCGACTAAAGAACCCGTTCTGCAGCAAATGGTGCCCGATCGAGCTCAGCATATGTGAGGTGCCCTCAAGGGGAATCTCACCATTACAGGAATCGATAACTCAACTCGACTGCAAGATGCTCGCTGGCTCGATTTTTCTCACTCACATTCCAGCCTTAGATGACAACCGGATCTGAAGCGACTGTTCAGATCTATCCTCCACCGAGATGATAGGACGTCTCTGCTGCCTCTGCTGATAAACTCAAAGTACGATACCGCATATCGCGTCGTGAAGACAAAAAGCTGTACTTACCAAAAAGTACACGTCAACGTCGAGCGTTTTTGAGGAAGCCTTTAGAAGAAATTGTAGGGGCTTGAAACATAGCACTCCGACTCCTCGTAGGTTCAGCCTCCAAAGCAGCCGTCTCCCCTCAGTTACCTCTCCTTCATCCAAGATAGACGAACTTACTTTTTGGTCGCCCGGGAACAGTGCGATCTTAGTCCCTTCCCCTATTTCGAGTTACCATTCCCTTCACAGTATGTACAGCATGACTTGAATAATAGTACGCTTGCCGTGAGCTCTTTCCATGCTGAATTCTTTTCTACCTCAATTCAGCACTCCCTCAATTTCAAGCCATCTTGTCTTTTTGTTTCATTCAGAACATCTCTTTCTTATATTTCCTTTCTACGTACGAGCTACGTTTTGAATCAACCACAACATTTGGACTCATCTACACCCAGACAACGGACATACATTCTATCAGTACACTTCAAAACCTTTTTTTTCGACTGAGGACGTGGCCCTACGAATCCGCTATACCAATACTCGATCCCACACTTCGATACCAAGTCTATTCAGTTTAGTGGCGAGCGCAATCAAATGATCTACGCAACCCCCGTGACTTTTCTCTTTCTTTCACTCATATGGACTATTTGCTTTGTTGAGGTTTTGGGAAAGGCAAGAAGTGTACAGTGGAAAAAGTTTTTAGTTGAGTATGACCAGATACAAGCACCTGGCGTGCGTGGAGGCACCGTTCAACCTAACCTAGTGGACAACAAGGTTGATAGCAACGCAGTAGGTCAATCCTGACTTCATGACCCACCTTACTCTTGTGATGTCAAACTGAGCTGAATTTGATGAACATCTTAACCGTTTGATTCTAAATAGTTTTTTAATCATTTAAAGGCTCATCTAGAGAGAAATAACGTAACTTTTGGAAACGTCCATTTCCTGGATTCTGCTCCGGAGATCTTTCAAGGCCTTTCGATTTCTTTATCTGACCCTGATCACGACAAGTTTTTAAGAACAGCCACAAGGGTGACAGTAAGTACTCGATCAAGCCTCAAAGCCTGCGCATTTTGGATGAACATGATGCGTTCTAATCAATCTTTTCAGGCTGTCTACGCGGTGCAACCAATCAAGCGTCCTACTTTTGCCCTTCTACCTACAGTTGTCTCCGAGAATCAAAATTCTACTTCGCGTGATCAATTTGTCCCACATGTACAAGTCGGCGTATCTCGCCTCCACGATTTAGGATACTTGTGTCAAGGGATAAGAATTGCTGTGATTGATACCGGTTGCGATTGTTCACATCCTGCGCTTGGTGGGGGATTTGGAGATGGCCATAAGATCGACAGGGGGTATGACTTTGTGGGAGATGATTATAATGGGGAAAATGCACCAACGCCCGATGGCAACCCATGTACACAATGTGCAGTGAGTAGAGCTTGTTTCTCCCGTGGTGTGGTTTTCTGGTGCTGACATGATACGAAACTATTGAAAGCTTCACGGCACGCACACGATGGGAATTTTGGCAGCAAATCAAAATCCTATGGGCTTTAGTGGAGTTTGTCCTGAAGCAAAGATGTCAGCCTATCGTGTTTTTGGCTGCCAAGAGGGAACAAGTGATGACCTCGTAGTGGCTGCACTTCTTAGGGCATATGCAGACGGAGGTCAGCAACATTGGCTTACAACTATACCCAGCGTAGTCCTTGCTAAATCGTGTTCTGTGTGGCGTGCCTTCACCGCAGCCGATGTCTTTTCTCTGTCAGTTGGCACTCCCGCTGGATGGGCAGATGGTTCGATAGGATCGATTGTTGCAAGTCGAATAGCCGCCAGTGGTCCCACTGTGGTGGTGTCTGCTGGTAACACTGGCGCGGTATGTCCCTTTTCTCGTCCTACAGATCAACTGAACATGTTCTGATCTTGATGCATCTCTGATTCTGTGTTCCTCTAGGAGGGAATGTTTTACGCCAACTCTCCATCGACCGGAGCCGATGTCATTTCCGTAGGCAGTGTACAGGCTCGATCCATCGTTTCGTACACATTCACTACATCAGCCACAGGGTCCCGCAATATGTACTATTTTGCAACCTACCCCATGAAACCGGGCATTTCACGGGTCTACCCAGTCAATTCCAACCCCTCCAGCCGTGACGATGCTTGTCAACCTCTTCCGAGCACAACCCCCAATCTGTCCGATTATTTCGTACTGGTCAAACGATCTTCGACACCGTGCGTACCTTGTGCAATCCTTTCATGGAAATTGCATTGATTAACGAAAACTTCCTTTTGTAATCCTCAGAAACTGCACCTTGGAGACACAAGCGGTAAACTTGAAGGAAAAAGGAGCTATAAAAATCATCTGGGCAAATGTGAGGTGGTTTTCCTCGAACATTTTTTGAAGGATTTCGCACAGACATCTGATATCGAAGAAACCCCCACCAGAACAACTCATATCCCGAATATGTACCCTCAGGAACTGCAGTTGGGATGTCTATTGGAGTCGTCACGGTGGACGTGGGGAGGTTTTTACTTGATGAAGCCGTGAAAGACCCAATAGGTTTCACTGTCAACGTGACTTCTGATGCGGAATTTTCTCAAAGTAAATCTTCAGGAATCAATCAGATAATTTTTGGCATCTGACAGGTTCCGCAATCCTTTAGTACAGGTACCGGATAGCGGCAGAGTCAGCCCATTTTCTGCTCAGTGAGTCATCGCTTTGTTGGCGTAAGTAAGTTCATGAGACTCATGCATGTATCATTTGATCCTTCGATAGCGGACCAATGTACGACTTCACATCACCTCAACCGGCGGTACTTGGCGTTGGTGGCAACGTTCTATGTGCGTTTCCTCTTTCATCTCATCATACTCGAGGAGATGAGTTCTTATGATCACTCCTTGCTCATTTCCAATTCGATTAGCAACATATCCTTTATCGGCTGGTGCATATGTAAGCCTTGCTTAGTCCACGATTGTTCAACGCCGACTTACATGCCTAAATTATCGCACAGGCCATTGCGTCGGGTACTTCAATGTCGGCTCCTCAGGTGAGCACCATCCTAACCATTGAAATGATGGATTTTTATCAATTGATCGACTTGTGAAGAAAACTAGGTAGCCGGAATAGCTGCATTGGTCCTCAACGTCAGAGGCAAAGGCATGTCATCGGAAGAGATGAGATCCCGAATTATAACTTCAGCCACACCAGTCACAAACTATAGTGGAAGTTCCACATTAGAATGTGTGTGTTTTCTGAACCTTTAACTCAAACATTCAAATTGAGAAGTCTCCTTTTCTTAGCTGTATGTCATCAGGGCTCGGGGGTTGTAGATGCCTGGTGTGCGGCATTTTCCAACACGATTCTATCAACTTATTCTATCGCGTTAAATGACACGGCCAACTTCAATGGCCTCCAATCGATCATCATCAGCAATCAAGGGAACTCATCCATCAAATACCAATTGAAGCACGAGCCAGCTGGGACTGCTTTGACGTTCCCATTGGGTGAAATGCTTCCTTATCAATGGCCCGTGCCTCTGATTGCAAATGCAGCGAAAGTTTCATTTTCGCAATCAAGTTTTACGCTTGGACCGTACGAGCAATTTGAATTCAAACTTCAGTTTCGATTACCCACTGGAACACCTGCAGAGCAGATGCCTATATACTCCGGATTCATCCGAATTGTTTGTCTTTTTTTACATTGCTTGTTCACTCAAATACTGAGATTCAGTACATGATTTCAGAGACTGATTTTCTTGGTGGTTTTGCAAACAGGTCACTGACACTGAATGCGAAAGTCATACGGTGCCGTATTATGGTGCTGCAGCAGAACTTAGAGCTAGGCCTGGTATGTTCAATCAGCCAATCAATTCCTTTGGATGTTAACTTATACGCGTGTCCATCTAGTTCTTGACACTGGCATAGGATATCAAGATAATTACACGATCCCAGCATTAGACAGTGGATTGACTAGTTTGCCGGTAGAAAGTGGCCATGTGTTTACCTTGAATGACACGGATGTACCTATAATTGAATATCGCTTGGCATGTAAGTCTGCCAGAGAGCCATTTGATACAGAAGCGAATCCAAACAACTGACAAATAAACTTTCAACAGTTGGGACACCTTTGTTGCTATTCCATCTAGTAGCTGAAGACGCAGATCTTAAAATACCTGTCCCATCAGTTGTTTCTCTTGGGAATAAGATCTCTCAATTGATTGGCCGCTCAAACGTGCCCTCGTATTTTACCTCACCTGAGAATAGTGGTATTCTAGACACGCTCAAAGGATCGATTCAAAAAGTACAATCCGTGGCGCCTATATCGACCAGTTTGACTTCAAATTTTCCTGGCCCTCTTCCTAACCTTTTCAAAGGCCTGAAGCTATTAGGATCCCTTGGAAGTCATGATACGCTTTCCACGTGGAACCCCCGGCACACGTAAGTGTTTCCAATCGTCGCATTAGTATCATCATATCTAATCTTGGTCCTTGGTCAAACAGCTTTGAAGACAGTAGCTCCTTCCAATTCAATGGATCCGTATTTGATCTTACTTCAGACACAGCCAACGTCACATTAGGCGTACCCGTTCCGGACGGAAACTATAAAATTCTCTTTCGGTAAGTGATCTTTCTGTACCACCATCAAATTTCTGCTAGTCGTCAATTAAACATACTTTTTCCTATTGCTATTGCACAGCGCCTTACGTATCAATGGGAACCCACAGGTAGAAAGTGATTACGAAGCTTGGTTATCTCCAAAATTCACAATCAAGCGGACAAATCAAATCGAGCCACAGAATGATAGTACAGACCCAACAACCAGTTCTACTACATAAAAGTCTTTAAACACATTGTAAACCTTAACCCAACGAAACTAAGCGCATTGATTATTTATCTCTCAAACTCAATATACCTTACCCCCTAGTGGATTCATATGATCATTTGTCATTTCAATATTCTCTATCTTTACATCTAAGATGGTTATAACTTTTATAAAGGACATTGGACATAATTCCTTAAACTATGTGTATGCCATATCTAATAAATAATACATACCCATTACATATACCATTTGGCATCTATTTGCGGGGTATGAATGATTATGGACTATACTCTAGTCACGCTTTGTGACTTGTCTTTCAGGCAAAAAAAAATGTAATTAAATGGTAGGCAGAAACGAATGGCGCGCCTTGAATCATATCCGTTTAGATTTCAAATTGCCAAATTCTAATGTTTTACATATGTAATTAAGAAGGAATCATACTCTCAATATCCTTTGGTCAGAATGAGGCTCAGTCAGAAACTTGATCCTCATGGCACCCAGCTCGCAAAGGTGAGAAGAACTCTGCAAGAATTTGACTTGGGTTAAGCCTATTAGTATCAGTCAATCAAAGCCTCAGTCTAGTTATTGTCCAGTGGGTTTGGGTAAGCTAGAATATGTCTAAGTGCTAAGGAATTCAAGGGGTATGACTTTGTTAAGTTAAGTCTTTGTGAAATTCATCCAATGTGACATTCTCATTGCACGCGAGCTTGTAGTTTAGAGAAAAATACTTGTGACACAAATCAAAAGTCCCAAGGCAAAGTTCATCATCAAAGATTATCACAAGATGAAGAGGAATGACGTCACAGGTTTCATAATTACAAAGTTTAGATTTGATAGGCTTTGATGCAATTCCAACTTCAAGTTTGCTGAGCTGGGGTATCCATCCAATCTGATAAGAAATCATACGATAAACACCCAAAATATGAATGTACCTCCCAGGCCATGTCATCCATGATCCAACCCAACTACAGAATTTCGTGAAGCATTCATCGGACTCAAAGGCTGACTACATCAATCATCTAACACTTTATATCATCATCATCATCATCACCTAATCAACTCAACATTACAAAACCCAACCAGCCTATCCTCATCATATCTTACAATCGTCCATGTATCAAACATAATAATACAGTTCAAGTATACACAAACAGTAAACTTAAATCGTCTACAAACCTTATACCTCTGTCCAGCAAATCCAAACTCTTGTCATAAAATCGTCTATCTTATATGCTTCATATGCTCTATGTCCTGTATGAATTTAAATAGGTGTGACTCTAGATGCCGTGAGCAATGCCTGCAATGTACCCATCCGAAGCTTTCGTCAGTTGATACTATCCTGCTTTAAATTGGGAGACAAAGTCTAAGAGTGACTTTACCTTTTTAGTAGCATGATATATCCTTTCTTTTGCCAGGAAGAGGAAAGCAGCCGTAAGCACTGACTCTATGGTATGAGATGATGATCAAGAAAATCAGATCTTGAAGTTCAGAATACACAGCCAAAGCTTATGGAAGAAGAAGATCACAAACGAGTAAGTTTAGGAGCGATTCCTCGGTAAAGTCCTTTAACTCCATCCTTCTTGACAATTTGACTTAATCCATCATACGTTCCTCGATAGCCTCTACCTTCAGCTTGACCACTTTGCATTCTAGATTTAACTGTTCTACAAACCCAACCGAACCGAAAAGAAAACCCCAAACCACGAAAGCAAACCAAGAAAATCAAACCACATCAGTTTTCAAAACTCATCTAGAAAAATCAAACTCATGACACAGATATAGGAAAACCCAAACCTACAAGTAAGGATAAGTAGCACCTGTAGCAAACAATTTAGAAATCGCACCAAGTAAAAAGAAATCAAGATCTCCTAATGACATGACATTGCCAGATTGAACTGATTGAACTGATTTGTTAGACGGTTTCGAATTTAACATTAATTTACGTCTAGCCATTAAGATGTTCTTTAATTGTTCAAACAACTAAACCAAAAAAAAACCCAAAACCCAAAACCAAAATCAATAAACCTCATTTAAAAAACATTGAAGTAGAGGAATTTCTGGAACACTTACAGTGTATTGTAAAATCGGATTGATCACCAAAACAAGTGCAGGCCCCAACCCACGAAAAAAAGCAAGCCCACCATCCGTTTTCAAAATAAACAGAACCGTTTGCAAGAATCCCATTCTCTGAGACTTAAGTTTAGATCCCATGACTGCACCATTCAAACTCGAAGTCGTCGTAGGTTGTTGAATCCTAACCGTTTGTCTTGTGTTGACTACCCAAATAGGATTAGTCAAAACAGCTGTCATACTACCGGCCACTGCTCCTGCAAACATTGATTGAAGGGTGGTTAATGAACTTCGTAGAGGGAGTTTCGATCCGGTTTGAGTGCTGCGTAAGAGGATCGAACGGGTTTCTTCAAAGAATGCATAATAGATTCTGTTAAAGGGTTTCAAAAGAAAAATAATAATAATCAGGTTGATGAATTTAAAGGGAAGCTTGATGGATTGAAGGTTTAAGTACCCATTGGTGATCGCGATTCCAATAAGAGAAGATCCAAGCCCATCATAAAACGAAGCGATCCCTTCACGTCTAACAAGATGAATAGCAGCTTCCAAAGAACTCTATTCAAAACACACGAATCAACATAAGTACTTGAACCATAGCCAAAACTCAAGTCACAAACTAACTTCTCCTGCTTGTTTAGCTTCGACCTGTGCCCTAGTAGAAATCACGATCAAAGGATCTAGTAACGAGGAATCCCATCGGATCAATTCAGAAATTCTTTTCACATGTTTGGTCATGAAGGATCAGTAAACCTTACAAGTGATGGCCCTAAACCAAAAAAAACCAACATCAAAGTGAGTAAAAGTGTACTGAGAATTTAAAAGATCAAGCCTTTGAAAGAAGACTCACATTGCACAGATTCCTCCGAGTGCACCACTTGATGCATGGATCAGTGAATCGGGTGGTGGCATGGTTTCTTGAATTGAGTTGATATGTTGTGGTTTTCTTTTGGTTTCTGTGCTCGTATGGGGTGAAGTCTTGAATGTGAATGTGAATGATGCTGAGCCAAGTCTTGGATATGATCATGAAGATCCAAAAGTAAAGTGAAGCTTGAATGGAGTCCGATTACATGACTCCCTCTGTATAGTAATACTACATATCCATATGTAACATTATCCTTCTATCACATGCACCACACTTCAACTTGACCCGATCACTCAACAGCACTTCAATCACCAACAATTATCAAAATGAACGTGGATGAGTTCTTCAAAGTCAGTCACTAAACATCATCTAACCTCACCTTACCTTTACTAACCACGAGTTTCTTTCTTTTTACACGAAAAAAAATAACAGGTACCTGCTCCAAAATATGATCCAACTAAATCACAACCCATTGAACCGATTCTAGGAAAACGAAAAACAAGTTCATCACAACATACCAGCACAGGTTCATGAAGTCTTTTCATACTCCAAAAAAAAAATCAAAAAATAAAGACATAAATAAACTGATGGATTGTGAAATGTGAAAAATCAGATCGAAGTAAACAAATCAAAAACGGACACCCAGGCGCAACTTTCAAAGGAAAAGAAAGAGCCATAGACCCCGAACCCGAAGAAACCGAACCCGAAGAGTTTCTAGAAGACCAAGATCAAGATGAAGATGGAAGGTTTTTTGGTGGAGGTTTGACAGGAGAACAAAGAGAGATCATGAAGATCTTAGACCAAGATTCGACAAAAGCATCTGAAACGAATTTACTTGATCTTAGTTCGGTACGGAAGATCTGTTTGATGTTTGAGAGATCTATTAATAGGAATAGAGAGATGAGAACTAAGTTTGGAGACCAACCTGAGAAGTTTGTTTGATTATCTTTCTTTGAATCAAAATTCTGGTACTTATACACTCATGGTTTTTTTGCTTTGGTTTTTGCTTTAGATTTGTGGATTCTGAATTCGAGTTGACTGAAGCTATTCAAAGTTTAACATTATTGACTCAAGACCCTGGAAAGTTTTATCCCGAAGTAGTTCGTTTAGGAGTCGTCGTCAGTTTATTAGGTTTACTAGCGCACGAAAACGTGTACGTCACCACCTCCTCAAATCTGAATTTCGAATTACAGAACCAAAAAAAACTGAAGAGCTAATCAAATGGATGAGATTCTAGTGATATTGCGATTTCAGTAATCGAGATTCTAGAAGAACTAACCGATGAAGATATCTTAGATGCTCATCAAGAAGACGAAGAAGCTGAAGAAGAAGAGAATGAAGGAAAATCAAAAGCACCAGAGGCTGTGATGGAACTAGTGAACCGATTGATCGAACATCAGTTATTGGAATTATTAGTCTCGACGATGGTTTCTAGATTAAATGAAAAAGAAGAAGCAGAAAGGAATGGTGTCTTTCATAGTCTAAGTACTTCATCTCCATCTCAATCCAAAGAAAAAAACATCTCTCTCTAAACTTACACACTTTGATGTGTGTTTTTTTTCGTAGGTTTGATTGAAAATCTGATTTCTTTAGATCCATATCTATCAATCCAATTAATTGAAAAAACTCCAATTCTTAAGTTTTTACTTCAAAGAATTAAACCTACGTCATCAAACCGTGATGGGATTCCTTCTTCATTGGCTTTTCAAAACCAACAATACTCGAGTGAGATCTGTGCGATTCTTGTTCAAAGCTTTTCTCAGAACCGTCGAGCTTTGGTAAACGAAGGAGGGATGGATGTCTTATTGGAAGTCTTATCAGTACGTTTATCATACATAATTTAGATGATTTGGATCCACAAGGTTTAAGAATTTTGATTGGTTTTTTTTTGGTTCGATGGGTTTTGTGTATATGTATAGATCTATCGAAAGCGAGATCCAAAAGATGCAGATGAGATTGAGTTTATGGAAAACGTGTTTGATACATTATGTAGTGTGTTACTTGAAGCTGAACACAAAGTGAAGTTCTTGGAAGGAGAAGGTGTAGAGTTAATGGTGATCATGATGAAGTGAGTGAAGTGTTTTTGTTTTCAAACTGGTCATCATCTTGGATGTGTTGATTGATCTATACTATGGGATGATGGATTGTTGTAGGGAAAAGAAATTAGCAAGGAGTCGATCATTGAAAGTCTTAGATCACGCTTTGGTAGGTGAAGAGGGAGTCAAGAATTGTGAACGGTTTGTTGAACACTTGGGATTGAAAACCTTATTTTCAGCATTTATGGGTAAAGTAAATCAAACCAAACCATTCATTAAGCATATCTTTAATTTGGACTGATGAGGTTTTTTTTTGGGGGTTTGTAGAAAAATTCGAATAAGATATCAAGGTTTGAAGATGATGAACATATTTTAGGTATCTTGGTTTCTTTGTTTTTTAACCTTGAATCAGATTCAGCATCGAGACTTAGGTTGTTGGCTAAGTTTGTGGAAGATGGGTATGAGAAGGTGGATAGGTTGTTAGAGATTAGAGAATCGGTTGAAGTTAGACTTTCTCAAAGAATAGAGGTAAGATTAAATAAATTAAAGAAATGATCACTCAAATTTCAGAATGTTGATGGTTTTTGGTTGTTTAGGTACAAGAAATGGAATTAGATGAAACTGAAGTTTATCTAAGTCGACTTGAAGCTGGATTGTTTTCATTACAATTGATTGATACGATCATTGGATGGATATGTATGGAAGATGATGGGATTAAAGATCATTTGAAGATGTTGTTGAAACGGAATGGGAAAAGGTTGGAAGATATTATAGGTGTTTTGGTTGAGTATTTAGAGAGTATGGGAGATGGAAGTAAGAAGGATGGGATTAAGTGTTTGGTAGACTATTTGGCGGCTCTTTAGATGTTATACCTTATATTTTCGTTTTGTGAATTTTTTGTGATATAGATGGGTTGTTTTGTTTTGTTGAGTGAGTCTTTTTGTGAAGTATAAATGGATTGGAGCTTATCATTGCAATCAGTTCTTGATCAGTTTATGAGTGACTCACAAGTTGAGCAGTGAAGTAGCCATGAGATGAGAAGTCAGTTGGAATTGAATAGTAGAATGTGAATTGAAATTTGAACTAAAAAGCTTTCAAGTTCAAGTTTGTCGATTCAACTCATTCAAGTTTGTAAACCATGACCGATCAACTTCAACCACCTACTCTTGGACTCTTACATCTCGTCAGTTCACTTCACTTTCTACCAGATCAATGAAAATAACTTTTCTTACTATTGCGACTTTGGTTTGATGGTTCTTTAGTATAACTCTCATGATAGATTAACAGCTTTCGAATCAGGTGATCTAGAATCACCAAACACTCTAATCTTTATTGGTGGACTAGGTAATCTCAATCCCTTTCTCCTTCTCAATCCTAAATCCAATCGATCCTAATCATGCAATCTTTCTTTCTTTTGGTATAGGTGATGGGTTTTGTTCTGTACCTTATTTAAATCAACTTTCAAATTCGTTACATTCGATTGGATGGTCATTAATTCAAATCTTATTAACTTCTTCTTACACTGGTTTTGGTACAACTGATTTGAATCAAGATGTTAAAGAAATTCAAGATTGTTTAAAGTATTTAATTCGATTAGGTAAAAATGAATTTGTTTTGATGGGTCATTCTACTGGTAAGTCTTTTTCGTTTCTTTCTTACTCATTTGATTTGGAAGATTGGTTACAACATTCGTTTTTGGTTTTTTTGGGGGGGAATTTGGGGAAATTTGAAAGGGTGTCAAGATATTGTTAGATTAGTTAATGATCAACCAGATGTATTGAAAAATGTCATTGGAACGATTCTTCAAGCTCCTGTAAGTGATCGGGAATACATTTTAGATGTCTTGGGAGAAGAAAACTATCAACGATCTATCAAGATAGCCAAAGAAGTAAGTCAAAAGTAATTACTCTCTTAACCCAATTCAAAACAAGAAATGAAAAAAGCTTTGTGAAAAACACTCAACTGATTTGTTATCAATCATTTTGGTTTTGGTTTTGGTGGGTTTAGTTAATTGAAGCTGGAAAACCAAACCAACCGATCCCCTTAGAATTCTGTGAAATGTTTTCAGGAGGGAAATCCACAATCTCAGCCCACCGATGGATAAGTCTCTCGAGCAAACTTCAAGACAATCCCAGTGGGGAAGATTTCTTTTCATCCGATCTAACCATCGAAGACCTTTCCATCAATTTAAAAGCCTTTAATTCGATCAAAACGATGATTTTGTTTAGTGGTCGAGATGAAAGTGTTCCAAAAGAAGTTAATAAGAATGAGTTGTTGGAAAGATTGGTGGTTAGTTGTGGAGGAAAAGTGACGAGGGAATGGAGCGTTCTTTTTGAAGGTGCTGGACATCTTGCGGAAGAAGTTGTGGATGAAATTTCAGATAGGGTCATTAGGTTTATTCAGGCTATTTCTTAGGGTCCTTGCTTTTTAGTTTATACTTCTTTTTCTTTATTTATTATGGAAAGTTTATTTTGTTTTGTTTGGTAGAGATTTGATTTATAGTGATCGAGTCTTAAAAAAGAATCCTAGTGATACTCTACACGACCAGTTTCTCTGATCCTTCATATCCCTTATCTTTAAAAATTGTAGCAGTATATGATTTATACCTTTAGATCTTTGTCTAAAAAAGAAGATTCAGTATGATTCTGAACAAGATCATCAAGTGTTTTAAAGATAATTCTATTAAGCGTAAGCTTTTGATCTGATCAAACATGAATTTTTGGTCCTCATCTTTGGTTTATTGCCATCAAGTTTGTGAAAAGTATCAGGATTCCTGTGTTTTGAAAATGATAAGGGCGCATTCACTTAGGGTGCGTTCACTTAAGGAATTTCTGACCAGAAATCACATTCTGTAAAATTTTTAATGCAAAAATGAAACATGTACCACCAAATAGACACTTTAAATTTTGCAGAATGTGATTTCTCACCAGAAATTGCTTAAGTGAACGGGCCCTTAAGCAATTTCTGCTGAGAAATCACATTTTGCAAAAATCAAAATGTCTATTTGGTGGTTAGCTTAACAAAGCCCTCTCTGCGCG